GTGCGCGCTGCAGCTGAACCACTCAGCCGCCCGGAGGTCTGAGGTGGGCGGAGACTGAGCCCGAGGTCCTCCCCGTCCGCAGCGACGCACCGCGCATTTTGGACTCGGCACCAGCACCCGTCCGAGGAGGAGGCATCATGGCTACGACCACTTGTACACGCTTTACTGACGAATACCAGCTTTACGAGGAGCTTGGCAAGTAAGGCGCTGTTCCATTATACGCTGTTGTGAGTCCCCTGCATGCAGCCTGACCCCACAGAGCAGGAGGGAGGGTCTGCACATCTGCGCTGATGGATGCGGCTCCGTCCCTTCAAAACAAAACGCACGCTGGTCCGGAGCTCTCGTGCATGTACAGTCAGCCTCTGAGCCACGATTGTTTGACTTCTCTTTGCACCACTTGTTTCCATGCAGGAGCCAGACTGTGACAAGCCATCACACAGTAGTTATAGATTTTGCATGAAGATGGGGCTGCATGAGCCCAGGAGCACTTCTGGGCTCACTCCCCTCCTCCTCCTCTTCCTCCTCCTCTGTGGCCACAGGCTCATTAGGGACTAACAGGGCTAATATCAGTGGGGAGAGCTGACGTGTCGGAGTTAAGCTCCCTCATCACCATCATGGCTTTAATCACAGCTTTGGAGAGAAGTCAGATAATAATGCTGCTGCCCCCGATCTGCTGCAGATGTAACGAGGTTGGTTTTTGGATTAAAAAGGAAAGGAAGGAAGGAAAGGAAGGGAATGAATAAAGAGATTGGGGATGTGTGGCCCCTAATAGGATGCAGACAAATTGAGAGAGACTGAAGAGGCTATGGGTGCCACAGTGGGTAGATGCAAAGTGGACTCAGTGTCTCTGTCAGGTTGTGCGTGGGTAGAGAGGATCTCTCTGCAGTGTTGGTCTCACAGGAACATTCATTCCACAGTCTCCCTAGGGAGAAAAAAACAAGTTGGTTTCACTTGTCAACCTCTGTTGAGATTTTATTTTTACTGGCTGTACAGACGCCCCTCTGTGATGGCAGTCAAATCCATCCCTGTGTGTGTGTGTGTCTGTGTGAGTGATAAATTAAAGACAATAGAGGTGCTGGAGCAGCAGCAGCTGCCCTTACTGATAACAGAGCCTTATTACTGTTTTGCCTGTGTTGTCACTTTCTGGCATATCCTGGGGTTCTGTGTGTGTGTGCGTGTGTGTGTGTATGTGGTGTAGTAAAGACTGGAGGATTGAATGCTGTGGAAGTATTAAGAGACAGAGGTCTTTTGGGATTGGGCCCCAATCAACATTCACAGAAAAATAATCAGAAGTTTTTTTGAAAGTCAATTAATATCCAAAATTATTTGGGGCGCCTGTGGCTCAGGGATTAAGTGGGTCACCCATCCACCAGAAGACGGGTCGATCACCGTCTCCCCCCGAACAGCTGTGCCAGCAGTGTTTGAGTGCTTGAGTGCTTCCTCCATCTCTGCATAGAAGTCATTTATCAATTTATCTCAACTGTAAAAATGTGCCTCTTTTCCAGCATTGAAAAAAAACTTATTTTAGGATGCAAAGAGTGCTTCACTGATGTAGAGTTGGACCCCTGTAACATTGTTTGACTCAAGGTAGACAGCATAATGTGCAGCAATTGATTTTGAGTCAGCGGAGGGCAGTGGACATGAGCTATGAACCAATATCTGTATATAAAGATGGACGACATCTTCACCTCATGTTCCCATTGTTCAACGTGAAGCCAAAACATCGTAAATACGGGTGCTGCCATCTCATTTGTTGTGATCTTTAGGGGGAGCCACAGTATCGCGGTCCCACCCATAAAAATTCCTGAACAAATGCTCCCATCAAAACGTCTCACCCCCCAACTTATCAGAAACATGACACACTTGAACATACAGTGTACATGACTGTGATAAGAACAATCTAGAATGATGTGTACTTTTTAGTTTGATCCATGTCCCAACTGCTAACGTGGATGAGGTGGGGTTTATAACCTATGTTGCAACCAGCAAACAGGGGTGATTAAGTTTGACTTCTTATTTGAGGAGGTTTCATCCTTAAATACAGTTGATGCCCACATAAAATTAAAATTGGAATTGTGATTTTTTTATATTAACATTCACCAGTGGAAGTTTCATTTTGTCTCTTTTAGCTCTGTTTTGGGTCTCCACCAGCTCCTGACAAACTTTGAAACGGTGTCGCTGTTGCCCCTTGTGGCCATTTGGGAAGAAGTATACACTGCAATTGGTGTAATCATCAAGTAGCAGTGGGTGCTGGCCTCAGGGTCAGTAGAACACATGCAAAGGCTTACTCGTTGATTCATCAAGTAAATATGTCAGATCTAATCTGGTTTTTGGAAAACAAATGTCTTGATGACTAGAAGTTTAACTCAAAAGAAAATTCACACAAGTGTGATCTTTATCTAATCTTCACCCATTGTCCTCTAATTGGCTTTTCATGGCGCTTTCAGTCATGTCATAGCTTTCAACAACTAATGGATTTCTCTCAGCTGTAGTGGAGATCACAAGATGCATTTTATGTTGTTATTCCTATTTGTCAGATCAAAAATACATTTGCATTCTTATTTCTAATACTTAACCTCTTTACTGTACATTACACATTGGCTTAACGGCTATACTTGAACATTTGGTTCATAGTGCGAATATGAAATGATGGAGAATATAGAAGATTTTGTGTGTGATTTTGATTTGTTACACTCAGCTAATCAGCAGGTTTCGGATCCACATCCGACCACCCTCCTGACTCCCACCTGCCCCGCAGATAACCTGTCATGTCGACGCTCTGCTGCCTTCTCTACCACGCGGCGGGAGTGTCAGCGAGTGCCATGCTTACTCACCCTCGTCTCCTCATAATGCATGCATGCTGGAGAGCTTGTGAGAGGCTGGGGCTCTGAGGGGGCGTGTGAGTGTTTCATTGCGTAACAATACTGAGGTGAGATAAAATTAGCTCTGAGAAATGACAGAGGTGGCTATTTCTGCTTGTCTCTGTTGGGTTTGATGAGCAAATGTGGCCTTAAAAAACTCCAGAGAACACTCTCTCTCTCACACACACGCACGCACACACACACACACACACATTTAACTTACAATACTTGTTCTTGAAATGCTGCTCTCCTTTTTTTCTCTCATTCTATCACAATCTGCTTTTCAGATATTATTCATGTCACTGAGATAAGAAGTGTGTAGAGCCTCAACAGGGGGCGCTTTTTCGTGGATGTTATTTATGTGTAGAAAAGGGAAAACACTTGTTTTTCTGACTTGGGAGGTTCCACAGCTTTATTCTTTTCCCACCCACACAAACAGCTTTATTAGCTTTTCTCTTATTTGTAGCAGTTTGTTTCCGGGTGAAGCCATAGACATACAGCGTGTCACAACATTTGAGTAAATTGTATCAATGTGTATCTGTGTTAAAACTGGATTTTACTTTGATTTATATGCCAGAGGTTGTGCATTTGAAACTGTTTTGGGGAGGGAACTGAAAGGCAAACTCCACCACTGGCAATGGGAAAGGTGTTCATTTGCTTTTCTAGTGGGTTTACCCACGTTAAAATAGAGGTAGAAGTGTTGAAGACAGAGGCTGAAAGGAGGAGATGCAGCATTGGACGTGTAACACATTCACACAAAAAAACATTGTGAAGAAGTTACACAAATTAAAATTGTGAACCTGAATATAAGCATTAATCAGTTAAATTCAATATTATTGGTGTGGTGCCTAATCACAACATACACGATATGTATAATATGTCTCCTTTAAAAAAGCATTGAGATCAGGTAATAAGAAGTCATGCGTTTTCTAGCCAAGTGTTTTTGTTGGTGACTGTAAGAAAATGTGTCCCCAGTACTATTGTTCCAGACGTCTGATGTTAAATTAAGTAGCTTTTGTCAAATTAGTCCATCACTCCTTCCATCTGCTGTATTTTGCTGCGTATCCAAGTTGTGTAATGAATTAATTATATTATCTAGAATCTGCCAGGAAATCATGACGCAATGTTGTATAAATCTAAATAACATTTATTCCATGTTTTACTGGGTTAATTATTCTATAGGCCCTTTATCTATCCTGGTTTTTATTGATACCTTTCGTACTGTGGGTATTGTGATTGTGAAACAGTCAGTCTATGTTGTTCAACAAATGCCTTACAAAGTCTGGAATTGAGCTTGGTGATCCCTGCAGAAACCATGACATAGGCTCCTGCTAATCGCCACATTATGGATCCAAACGGTACTTAGCAGTAGCAACAACGCTCCATGTAAAGCTCTCTTGCTGCATTCTCACTTGTAGTGTAAAACATCCCGAGTAGTCCTAAAAAACACCACTGTGTGTGGAAATCAAGAGAGGAAATTAAGATCTTTGTGAATTAAGTGTAAGACATTTGATTATGTTCTAAGGCCTTTTTGGAAACTGGATTTAATGCTTCCTGCAGATAGCCTGCAGAAAAAGACATCTAGCTGACTGTCATGATTTGACATTTTATTAATATCTTATGTTTTTGTTTCATTATTCATTTACTGTCATAACCTTGATGCTGGGCAGATTTCTGAGCAAACAGGCTGAGAAGTGTAATTTCTGTACATTTAAATGTAATTGTGATGGACGTTTTCTGGAAGCTGGTGAAAGGAGAACTCAGGCAGCAGCTGATGTCTTATGCAGAAGATTTTAATGTAGACTTGATGCATTAAGGAGACCAGAAGGTGGAACAATATACAAACACTAACAGAATAACATGAGCAATTGCCCCCCCCCCAAGTCTGAAGATGTCTCCCACAGCATCCCCATATATCATCCTCTACTTGTGTCACCCATTCTAACAGCAGATCAATGAATGGCTAGAATTGCTGTCACTCTATGTTAGTCCTAAAGTATGCATTCCTAAATCACGTGGTGTCCTTACGTCTTGCTCCTGATGCAATGCCAAAAAGAGTTGCAGTTGGTGCCTCTCTGTCCCGGGCATCTGAATTAGATATGAAAGTCCATGAGCGTAGACACTACAATACTGCTAGTTGGAGAGTGGATTATGTGTGGAATGAGACAGTGTCTACTCTCCTTATGGAGCTGTGCAGATGTAATGTGTTAGGATGGTCAAAATGTCCTTCACAGTAATATTCTGGATTGTAATGTCATGATGGTTTGTTTGTTTCTGTCTCCAGCCCGAGTCTTTTCCCCTCATTATCTTGTGTTTCCTGCACACCTCTACAGCCGGGCTTAGCTCTAAGGTTAAGTTATGGACATGTGCAGCAGAGACAACTGGTTAGGTTTATGCTGAGGCCAGGGTGAGGTTAAGCATCTGAGCAAATGAATGGTTAGGGATAAAGTTTGATTAAGGTTAGGGGGAAACCACGTAAATAGTTTGTATTTATGAACTTGATGACCACTCAAAGTGCTTTACAGTACAGTTTTCCATTCACCAATTCACATACACAATCATACAGTGCATCTATTAGCAGCACTTTTTTTCTCTATGAGTGCAATTTGGGGTTGAGCATCTTGCCCAAGGACACTTCAACATGCAGATGGGGAAGACTGGGATTGAACTGCTGACCTTCTGGTTGGAGGACGACCGCTCTATGCCACAGCCGCCCTCTAATACTTGGGAGTTTCTCAATTTCAGAAAGCAACCAGTCTAAAGCTGAAATGATTTGTTGATTAATAGATTAGCTGTTTGAAAATCAATTAGCACAATTTGATATTGTTCAATTATTCAATTTGATAAATGAGTAATCATTCAACTCTGTAAAAAAGAGTAACTGTTACCAGCCTCTGAAAATATGAATACTTTATGTTTTCTTTGTTAGTAAACTCTTTGGGTTTTCGACCGTTGCTCAGACAAAGCAAGAAATATTTATTGACTCAGCTCAGGGAAGAATCACTTCAGTTTTCACTTGATCCTGTTATTTCACACACTGGACAATCAATTGATTATTAAAGAGAACAACTGTCAGATGTATTGATAATACAAATAATCCTTTGTGAATGGGCACAGCTTTATGCTTCTGAGAAGGAGAAATGCAACCTTGAGCCAGTTTTCTGTGTGTTCATTACCTGACAATGCATTTTCACAACAACAAAGTCCATCTTCAGGAAATGGCCCGAAGATGGAGAATGGAGGACCTGATACTGTTGACACTCCATTTCTGTGGAGCTATTTCTATTAAATCAGAAAGTTGGTTGGTGATCCAGCCTTGCATGGAAAAACACATTATCAGGGAAACAGACCTTGATACCAGACTGACGCATATCAGGCAAATTAATGTTTATCAGGCTCATTGATGTATATCAGGCTCATTGATGTATATCAGCATGCAGATGCGGTTGGTTTAAAGCCAGAGAGGACAACAACGAGGTCAGTCTGATAGCTGAGATGTCCCCTTTGATGCTGACGAAGCTTATATGGCTGCTGACCCGTCTCCTCCTCCTGTCTCCTGTCTTTGTTTCCCAGGGGGGCCTTTTCAGTGGTGCGCCGCTGTGTCAAACTCTGCTCGGGCCAAGAATACGCCGCCAAAATCATCAACACCAAAAAACTCTCGGCCAGAGGTGAGAGAAAGAAAGTCGAAGGAGCGCAATGAAGATGTTTATCCCTGCTCAGTGGTTGTCTGTGTGTTTTCTCAGTCACAGGCAGAAGCAGAGACATCATGCAGGTTTTCATCATAATGTGTGTAGTGTGTATGTCCTAGATCTGAAGGCTCACATTAGCATATTTTAGCGCTTGTTTGATTCCAGCGTGTGAAGCCTTCTCGTCTGTTCCTCGGAGAGAGGCAGATGATGGTTTCAGTGAGATGCACTGTCGAATCCTCGGCGAGAGGAAGGATCCATGCATCAAAAAGGATGTTTGGGAAAATGTACATTTTCCTCAACCGATTACAATGAAGGGACGTTAAAATAATGAGTTTATCCTCAGTTTTCACACTCTACCACAGATCAGGTGATAATGCAAAGTGTCCCTTGACATTGCTATTTGCTTTTATGCATAATCTTATTATCATTCGCAGCATTGTGTCAGTCGTTTTCTCCCAATCATCAAATACAGTGAAAAACACATCATCTAAAAACAGCAACAAAGGTATAACTACTGTTAAGGAATGGGATCATGGGTGTGGCCAGCCCGGATCTCACACCACCAGTCTCTTTTACAGAATGTCCAAGGCCTTTCTCTTCCTGCTGTGCATGTGGCCTTTGAGGACAACATTCAGCTGCTTGACATGATGGATACAGATGTCAAGTTAATAACTGTGACACTGTCGATCAGATAAAAAGCAGATACAAGACAGATGTCTGGATCCTTTCAATTTGCTTCTCATCTGGATCTCCTGCCAGCTTGTTTCCTTTTCCTCATTCTTGTCTCCTCTCCTCTCCTCTTTGGACTTAGGGGTTAAAATGGGCATCTGGGACAAGTATAGCCCTCAGGCCATTGGCTGTTTATGTGCAAACACATGTTTATAAACTGTGTGTGTGTGTGTGTGTGTGTGTGTGTGTGTGTGTGTGTGTGTGTGTGTGTTTGTCATAACCTTGAGAACAGTTTAAACTTTTATCTAGTCCAGGGGCGGGGAACCTCCCACCAAGGGCCATTTCAATTCTTATAACATCCTTCAAGGACCATACAACATAATTGAACACATATATCACACTAATCTCTCTAATGAAGAATCTGATGTCAGATCAGAATCTGGTTTTATTGCCAAGCAGGTTTACACATACATGGAATTTGCTGTGATGTGTTTGTTCAATTATAAATATAGAAAATAAAAAAATAAATACTATAAGCAAAAAAAACAAAACATACTATATGCAGATCAAATATACTATAAGCGGGAGGGATTTAGCAAAATGCTGTTATTATTTGTGTCAAAGTGTCACAGGCAGGGACATCAGTGCAGTTCAGTGAAATTGTCCCAGGCCTTATTGACTACAGAGCAGTAGAAACTGTTGCTGATGACGTTGTTTCATCACTGGACAGAGAGGAACGTGGAAACAGTTCTTCGAGACATCCTGACGCTTTAGAACAATTTTACGTCGTCTGATTCCAGCAGCTTCACTGCAGCATCAAGGCTCCTTCACACGCCGCCTGAACAAGGTTTCAGTTTCGTGACTTTGAACTCACTCACCAAACCTGACTGCAGAACATTGTCTCTGTCAGAGAGTTTCTTGTCGGACACCTCTGCAGAATAACATTGTTACTCAATCAGTTTAAAACAATTTCAGCTATAATTATGCTGAGATGGGCATTTTTCATCTCTACTACTGTGTCCGTTCACCCTGACTGAGTTAGACTTGTTAGTCTACTGTTTTATAATATTTTTTGTAATTCTGATTTGCTTGTTTTGTATTTATGAATTTTTTCATTTTTCATATTCTGGGCCAGATGTCATATTTTCCCCACTCCTGATCTATACAAACTTAAATCTGGTTTTCATCATGATATCATTTGATTTCACTGAATTTTTGAAAAGGTTATTCCTAAACAATAATCTTTTTGTAAATTCACAAAAACCAGCACCAAGCTGCCTCTTCACTTGTTTCTCTAAATCTGAGACACGGTTGTAAGATCCTCATGTGACTGTCTTGTAGACCATCAGAAGCTGGAGAGAGAGGCCCGCATCTGCAGATTGCTCAAGCACCCCAACATCGGTGAGTGTTGCCTCGATCAGTGGATCACAATCTTTCTGTCATCTCAGAAAAAAGTGGCCCTCATCATTAATACATTGTGATCTTTTACAGTGCATTATATTGCAAGCACAGGCCGTGCAGCCAAACATCCAACACATGATTTATGTTGGAAAACAAACTAGTGTGTTCAACTGCTGGATGAGATTCCATGTTTCCTGTTTTTAAATTAAATTGTTCATTCGTTCTATGCTTGATCAATTGAATTTTAAAATGTAACTTTATTTTCAACAAATCCAATGACATTACCGAAACCATTAACGTGTTACTGCATCTCTAACACTGTCTGACGGCTACTTTCTCTGTGGCTTTTATCACCAAGAACGAAAACCTTTTAAATCACGTCATGAAGATATAGTGCCAGACATCTCATGTTACATACAATCCTTTTTGATTTTATTTCCTAAAACAGATTCTCATTGAAGGTTTCGTTATCAAAGAAAGTTCAAGAAACACTGCATTTGTTAGGGACTATTTTCCGTGGTGGATTAATCCACATTTGAAGCTTTTGTGAGTATTTGGACTCAAATTAGTCCAAATAAACTACAGTGTGTGTGTGTTGATGACAATGAAGGAACACGTTTTCCAGTTTAACAGTGTGGCTCACTGCTGTGTTGTCAATGGTTTTTGGATGTAATACATGATTTCTGTCAAGTTTCACTGAAGTCAACATGCTACAAGTCCATCACTGTGTTTCTGAATCCACTGAAATACACGTTCTATGAATGTCACCATTTAAAAATGCTGTTATGACCGTGACAGAGATTCACTGTTGACAACAGTATTATACATTTTCATTTAAAACAGAAACAATGCGAGATGTTCTTTTAAAGGTAACAACAAATATCATCCCCCAAAAGAAAAAGATGTTATTTTGATGCTTGCTCTCTATCTGCTTCTCTTCTTCCTCTTTTCTCTTCACCTCCCTCCAGTTCGTCTCCATGACAGTATCTCAGAGGAAGGCTTCCACTATTTAATCTTTGACCTGTGAGTTTGAGCTTTGTTTCCTCCTCCTTCCTTCCTTCCTTCTTTCCTTGTTTTTAGCTCTCTTTATTTCCTTTGCTGTGTGGTTCTGCTCTCCCTCCTCCTCCTTTATCCTTCATCCTTCATCCTCCTCCCACTCCCCTAGTGCTTCATTTTCCACTCCCTTCCTTCAACCTGTCTTCTCTACACTGCTTTACTTTCTCCCCCCATATCCGCATTCCCTTCATTTCTTCTCTTCGTTTTCACCCCCTCCTCACTTCCAGGGCAGATCCCCCATTACATAACAGCCCAACCCCGCATCACCTCCTCCCTCCCTCCTTTCCCCCTTGCAGCTCCTACTTAAACGCACACTCACACACACACACACCAACACACATACGCACGCACACACGCACACACGCACACACACACACACACACACACACACACACACACGCGTGCGGAGAGATACATCCACACTCTCCAGTACTGGAGCCAGTCTCCATGGCAACCCACTTGGAGTGAATCCTGCAGCCGGGGTTTCCCCCTAATGAGGACATCCCCCTCCTGTCTGTGTGTTTGTGTCAGAGTGTGTGTTTGTGTGCGTGTGCAAGTGTATATGTGTGTATGTGCTGCCAGAGTGAAAATCTTTTCTCGATTCTACATTTTAACCTCCATCTTTACATTTCTCAGGGTGACAGGAGGGGAGCTGTTTGAGGATATTGTGGCTAGAGAATACTACAGTGAAGCAGATGCCAGGTAAACACCAATGAATGTCATCTCTACCGTTTTCTTCATCCCCTCCATGTGTCAGTCCTCCAGCCTCTGCAGTCCTCCAGCAGCTCTGAGCCGGACTCGTCTCATTAGTGCACACAGACAAAATTTGACACTTTGTTTTTGGCGTTGCAAGCTCCAGTTCTGATGGATTATTCCTTTACACAGTTTTTTCTGTGAACTGAATTGCAAATTGAGGTCGAGTAGTTTCCCCTAGAGTTAGAATTTTACAGACAGATGGAAACATACACATGCATGAAATGCACACACGCCCGCATTGTAGCCCCCTCAGGAGGTAAACTTAAATCAATTTGACTGTGGAGGCGGTTTGTGGGGGCGAGAGAGAGAAGAAAAGAAGGGGACAGGAACACTAAAAGGAGGAAGGATGAGAGCTGCAGTAAAATGAGGAAAAACATTTTGGTTTCCAGCTGGTTTTTATCTCTGAGTCCGAGGCACATCTTTGTCTTTTTTATCGCCACACGTTGTCGTATCTAGGGCCAAAAAAAAGACCTTTTCAAACACTATGGCCTTTGAACATACATAAACACAACTGTTGGTTGTTAAACAATCATCAAGCAAATGATGAGTCAGTCAGGAAGCATGTTTTGTCTTTTGAGTCTACACACACTGATTAATGAATGCAAAATCAAATCATTTAAATGAGCTCTGAGTCATTTTCTTACTGTCACGAGCATGAATAGCATTGTCTGTTTGTATTTGAATTATTTAAAACTCAATAATTTAACAGTATTAGGGAAATAAATGTGTTCCTTGAGTTTACTGTATTTGAAAAAAGGACATATTTTCTTTCAGTTTTCTTGCTTGTGTAGCATTATCAATGTAGTGCATGTATTCTCAAGTCTGTATTGTGTTTGACTCAGTAGGTTCAACCGTTATGAAAACTATATCTCTGTGCCCTTTTTGTTGGAGTGTAGAAGTATTACTTTTTATTCTCTAAAGAATTGACAGCAGATCTGCCAATCACATTTTATGCTACATGTAGTAGACTGTATACACTACAACCGTATCCCATTGTTACAGTTAGTATACAGGATGTTCACCAAGAGATGTCACTCAAACTGTAATAAAGGGTTTGTGCAGGGCCTTCAGGCAACTAATATGTATATTACATTTAGAACTGTCAACATTCAGAACTAATGAAGCTTACGGAAGCTGATATTATGTGACACTTTTACTTAAAAGTGACATAATTGACCTAATTTGATGTGGTACTTCCACTGAATACAATGCATTGTATTTGGTAGAAATAATGTACCATAGCTTTTGATGTTGTCATTGCAAATGTTAAGGTCAACATTTAAAAAGCTGTTTTTGAAGTGACTGAAGTTTATTTAATTAGTTTGCAATCAGCCATCTTATATTTGAAACTCTAGTGTGAAAGCACAACCCATTCAAAATCTGCTTGGAATTGTTATTAAGTATGAGTGACAGCATATGTGCTTTTTTTGATAATATATGATGAAAATACATGTACTGGTGCGACCACCATGAACCACAGGTGTCACTAAATATGATGCTTTTCAGAACTGTGATCAGTGTTGCAAAATGCTGCTCTGATAACAAACGTGTCATGAATTTCAATGAGGCAGGATTTGTAACACTGGCACTGGCAAGTGCTACCGAGAAGGTTTTTGTATTCACACCTGTGGTTCCATACTGAATTTCCTGTCAAAATGTAAGACAACCAGAATGATAAGAGCCCTGCTGATCATCTGTGTATCGAGAATTCCTGTATTTTCTTCTGTATTCGTCAGTTTTACTTTCCCAATTATTGTCTCTCATCCCCCCTTATCTGCTATCACTCTACCCTGTTCTCTTTACATAAATTATGTGCGGATCTCTGTGTGTGTGTGTGTGTGTGTGTGTGTGTGTGTGTGTGTCACTCTATGTGTTTGTGTGTGGGTGTGTGACTAGCATGGCTTGATTACTGTCCAACAGTATCTCGCCGACAGTTCTCCATCTGTACACATGAATCGCTCGATCCCTTCCTTCTCTCTCCCCCTGTTTAACCAATAGTTCACCCAAATTACTCAAAAACATATTTTCTCACTTGCCTGTGATGGTGTCCAGCCATACGTGTATAGTTTTGGTTTTATGCATCTTCCCGTCTGTAGATATCTGCTTCTCAGATTCCTGCCTCCACACGACACAATGAAGGTGAATGGAATTTTGTTTATGGGAATCACAGCATTGAAAAATGTTCCCCAAATCCAGGAGATTCAAATCCCAGCTCCTTTCTCACCCCCGCACAACTGAGCAGTCACTGAAGAGGTGCGAAGTGGGTGTGAATGTCAGATTATCGGTTTTAGAGAGTGAGAGAGGTGATCAGACATGGCCACCCAGAAAAGACATCGGACATTGGAAAGGTGCAAAGGGATCAGTTTCTGAAGCTATCCATCAAGCAGCAAGCATTTCTTTAGAAGCCTGACACTGAGCTGAAGTATTGTGAGCATTAACTCTGTTCCAGCCACATGACTGGTATGGCGCAGTGCTATTCTCATTATTATGGGCTGTTTGTATCGTTTGTCAGGGAGGGATGGAATGATGAAATTGTATTTTACGTTAATTATCTTTATAGTTTTATCGCCCAGCCCTACTTTGTAATAACTTCAACCTGCTCTGCTATACTGAATCTTAAGTATAGTTCAGAGTGACTAAATGTAAATGAAGAACCATCTTTAGAGACAAGAAGATCACCATGTCAACATCATGGAGTCACTCTGCTCACATGAAGGGACAGGAAATGCAAACTAAAGCCACAAACTGGAAACTCCGGGATGCTTTGAACCACAAACCTGGCAAGAATCTTAAAAACAGTGTGGAGGTGAACTGAAACGAACTGGTGCTGAGGTCACAGCAAATACGGATTTCATTTAGTTTACTGCTCTTTGTGTGATGTTAACTGAACACTATAAAAAGCACCTTACTTTTAGTGACTAAAACGTTTGTTCAATGCCGTTTTAGAACATAGGACAAGATGGAGAATGTCTCTTGGACCTGTGAAGGTCTTCCGCACCACTTATGTTGCCAACCATCAGTAGATGACAGGGACATACAGTATCTTGAGTTGTCTTTTAATCAATCTAAGGCAGGCCCACAGCAGGCTGATCAGACCTAAGTGTATCTCCCTAACGTCTTGGGACCCACTTGGTGTCTTTCCTCCTGATCCAGAGCCATTGGCTGCAGCCTTCTGCAGTCGGTGATGTGTCTTTTATGGTCTGGTGCAGGGCTTGTCCGTGGATGCCTAGATCTCTGAGCAACCTGATGGTGGATGTTGTAACGAAACCCCTGCAGCCGAACTCTACAGGGCGAACTATTGCTTTCCAGCCACGTTGTTCTGCCATACATAACTAATAAGCTGTGAGTACCACAAATGCAATTTCATTCGCTTCCATTGTAATTCTGTGGAAGTGGAATTCTCAGAGAGATGCAGCAAAACCAGGAAAATAAAACCTAACCTGTCTATGCGGTGAATTAGAAATAAGTCAGGAGATGTGTTTTTTTTGGGTGAACGTACTCTTTATTCTTCTCCTCTGACATGTTCCTAAAAACACCCTCCTCCTGTCAGATGTTGCCCTTCTCCCTCGACTTTTCTGTATGACTGTCTTTATGCTTCCTTACCTTCTCGTGTTCCTTCTCTGCTCCTCACGTTGTTGTTTTGTCTCCACAGTCACTGTATACATCAGATTCTAGACTGTGTGTCTTACACCCACCAACATGAAATAGTGCACAGGGACCTCAAGGTGTGTGTGTGCCTCATAGTGTTGCACTGCCCTGCACCCTCTGCACAAGGGTTGTTTCTTTACATGCTTGTGTTTAATTGCTTGTGAGTTAAAAACAAAGTGCCTGTGCCTGCTGTCTGTCCGTCTGTCCGTCCGTCTGTCTCTCTTTGTGTGTATGCCTGTCTTCAGGTTTTGCTTCTGGGACTCATGTTGCACTATTTTAGACGGTCTGTACTAGAGGAGTGATTTCCTCTGGGTCAGACAAGAGCGAGCGAAGGAGCGAGTGTGTGAGCGAGTGAAACTGAGTAGAGTTCAGTGGAGCAACAGCAGAGCAGCATCTTACCTCAGATGCTTGGAAACCTGCTAAATCTTTTTGTCGAAGGCGGCGTTACTGCCGTTCCTGAATAAATTACCCAGGGATGCAGGTTAGACACAGGGTCTCCCACATGGATCTGCGGCACACTCCTACACTGCCTGCCATGTTTGGCCCTGTCTTGAAAAGAGAAAATAGCGTACACCTTCTCCCTTCACAGACAGGTTCACTCTATACATGGTTGTGTGTGTGTGTGTGTGCGTGTGTGGCCTGTTATGAGAGGTGGCTGCCTCTGCATGGATGCTGCTGGGGGTTGAATGTGTTCAGACTAACCTGCTCCCCCTGCTGTTTGCATGCAGTCATTGCATCCAGCAGATCCTGGAGGCCGTGCTCCACTGTCATCAGATGGGGGTGGTACATAGAGACCTCAAGGTGAGTCAAATGCAGGCGTGTGTGTCTGTGTTGGTCTGTGCGTGTCTGTGTGGGTTTGCGTCTGTGCGTGCGTTGGAAGGGATTTATAGTTGTATTTGTCTGCGTCTGACTTTTGCACTAGTTTCTGGCGGCTGGTAAGTGCAGCGAAATATACTTGAACCCAGCATGTCTGTGCTTGTCATGTGAGCCTGATGTATCATTACATGCATGTGTGTGTATATGTATATGTGCCTTTCTGATTAAATAGATTGTGCATGCATTTGATCATAAGTATTTTATTCTTGTGTTTTTTTCCATAGAAGTTTTAATTGGATGAGAAACTTGCATCAGCTGATAACCTTGTTTCCAGTTGATCTTCTCACTGTGCTGCAGTGATGTAGAAGTGTACTCTTGTTGTGCACCATGACATCACTGTTGCGTGTGGTGCCAAGCGCAGCCGACTTTTTCCTGCCAGAAATGGCATCAGTGTGATGTTAAGTTACATCTAATGTTGATTGAATTGCTCCAAATTAGGTATATTTGGATTACACACAATTATAATTAAATAGAAACTTTTATTAATTCACTAAAATCCACAGTGTATTGTGCCGTACAGATGAAGTGACATAGCTTGGATTTCTTTGTGGTTTTTAAATGCTGTCAGACGTATTGTAATTATTTCAAGTAGGAAAAATAATGAGTAAAATCTCATAAATGACAGAAATAACACTTTATTATAACCTTTAGTAAACAACCAATACATAAGCAATATATATCACATCATAATATTATTGTAAGTGTTAAGATTTAATTTATGTGTGAACAACTGTATCTCCTCTCATAGAGCATGTCTCATTTATGTATCAAGAGTTGTGTTTCATGTAGTTGGTGTTATTCTACAAGTCCCTCAGCGAGCTAACTTCTAGATTTAGAATGCAGGCTTGATGTCAATACTTACTGATCTCCTCATCTAACTCACTATGGGAAATAAATAAATGTATTTTCCAAAATGTAGCTGTTCCTTGAAACCAGGAGCTCCCCTGCTAGCAATAAATTTGGCATGAAAGGATCGAGTGGCATTTGACCTTTTGCCAAACCCTCTGTGGTTTGTAAAGATGGTTTAAGGTTATATTTCAATTGACTCTTCGCTGTTTACTGCACTGTATCAGAGTATAGGGAGATTTATGGGGGGTACTGTGAGTTGCAGAGTATCTGCCCTTATTATTTAGCCCCTTTAATATGTCTTACCTCCTGTTCACAAGCCAAATATTCTCTAATTGAGGGAGAGGGCAGAGGGTGACACAATGACTCTGCTGCAGCTGTTTTTGAGCCACTGTGATGGAATGATTAATGACTACAGGCAAAAATCAATCACCATAAGAATTAACTTTACAGACAACCCTCTTGTCCCTGTGCGTGCTTGTGCTCTAAAGATGTTTGTCAGATTGTCGTTACGTCAGCATCTGAGCAGGAAAGACATGACGGCTGCAAAAAGGCAGGCAGCTGTGTTTGGTCTCTCTCAAGTAAACAAATGGCAAAAAAGCCCATGTATATTTTTTAAGTCCCATCTGTCTGTCTCTGCTTCTCATGTGTCTGTATCAGAATGTGTTCCTATTGTGTGTGCTGCTGCCGTTGGTTTTCCTAATCGTCAGTTCTTGAAGAAATGATTTGTTATGGAAGTTTTCTGGAAGCTGGTGAAAGGAGAACTCAGGCAGATGTCTTATGCAGAAGATTTTAATGTAGACTTGATGCATCAAGGAGACCAGAAGGCGGAACAATATACAAACGCTGACAGAGTAACATGAGCAATTGTCACCCCCCCAAGTCTGAAGATGTCTCCCACAGCTTCCCCATATCCTCTACTTGTGTCACCCATTCTAACAGCAGATCAATGAATGGTTAGAATTGCTGTCACTCTCTATGCAACATGTAGGTGTTTGCATCCTATTAGATACTGGTGTAATAAGCAAAAGAGCTGAAGTTGGTGTCTCTCTGTCTGGGGCATCTGAGTTAGATATGAAAGTCTCTAAGTGTAGACACTTATATATTATGTAATATACACTATATGTACATAATATGGTATATGGTGGCATATACAGTAATGTGTGAGGATATATGAAAATTCCTGGTTTCCTACAGGTTTCATTTCAGTGGTCTGTCACATACATTGAGCAAAAATAACCAGAGAGAGATAAACAAAGAGGTGCAACATGACTATTAAAAGACACAATGAGTTAAACGAGATACAAAATGATGCAAAGTTACCACAAAGGAAGATGGGATGTGTAAAATGAGCATGAGGGAAAATGAGAAAGACATGCAAAAAAACATGATGAGAAGCAGAACCAAAGAGGTAAATAATTCACAGAAATAATAGTCCAGAAACAGACAAAAAAGAACCACAAAGAGACACAAAATGACCAGAAAAAAAAAAAAAGACAAATAAGTATGGTGACATGTGCTAGCATCGACATGATGTACTCAGAACATTCAATAATATGGGTATGAAACACTTCTTGAGAAGCATTGTCTCATTTTCATGAGAAAACAAATTAGCTCCTGTTTTTCTGAATTGATGATAGCTCACCTACCTCATTTAGCTAAACAGCCTGTGTAGTTTTGTTTTGATTTGTGTTTGAGACATTGAGAAGTGCTTGTGTCTTTAAGTAATAAATGATTTCTTATTAATTATTCTATAAATGGCATTGTTATCAGTTTGTCGGCTTTGCGCAGGCACCTCAGGAATTGTTCAGAAATACAAGGATTGGGAGCTCTTGCGTTAATTCAGAAAAACAGATTTGTTCTCTTAGAAAATTCAATACGCTCACGTACTTCTCGCCCTCAATGGTCGCTATCTTGGCTAAGTAGTGTTGTGTCGTGTGAAACATGAGGGCACACACAAGAAAGTCAAACTTAAATTTTTAAGTCAAGTGAGCAAAGAAGCCGGTAGATACTTTGATGTGGATAACATTAGTGGTCACATATTGCAATCATCCTACAAATGTGCTTCCCATTTTTAAAGTTGTGCCCCGGCCTGGCCACACACTCAACAGTTTTCCGCTCTTGCCTAAATGGACCAACCCCAGAAAATAAAATCAGCCTCTGTAGTTGGTTTGCTTATTCTTATGTTACGAGATGTGTTCACTTCTAAAAGTCACATGACAGCAGAGTTTGAGCTGATGTGACTGTGCTTGGTGTTTGTGTTGTGCATGCAGCCGGAGAACCTGCTGCTGGCCAGCAAGTGTAAGAACGCAGCAGTGAAGCTGGCTGACTTCGGACTGGCCATTGAGGTTCAAGGAGACCAGCAGGCTTGGTTTGGTATGTTACACACAACACATGCTGCAGCGTGCACACATGGACACTGTGTTAGGTAGATGAGCTTTATTGACTCTCATTAAGATTGAAGTCTTCTTTACTGACTGTTTGCCACTCCTTTTCGAAATGTAGTTTCCAATGACTATACATACCATTGGCATTGGTTGACTGATCAGCTTGCTAATTCAACTAGTACTAGCACTATGAGCTGGTTGAAACCTTCTTCTAATGTTTCCAGGTGACTCCATATTTAAAAATGAAAATCTTACCTGCAGTAACTAATTTGTTATGGCCATATGGGGGCAGCAGAAACAAGCTGTGAACGCAGCACTGCTATATTATTGTCTTGTAACAGTGATGTTTGTTCCCCAAAAAGTGAAGCCAAAACATCTAATTAGCCCACTGGTGGCTAGCTACAGTATAGGCCCCTCCATGTTAGCAGATGGGCCAAGCTACAAAAAAATCAAACGTGCAATTTGTGTTTTCTCTCTCTGTCTTTTCTAGTAGTTTATCTCACAATGATGTATGTTGAAATGTTCAATCTTTCTAATGATTTAGTTCTTATGTGTAATTTGAAGAGCAGGTGTCATATCATGATTGACTTGCTTGCAATTAGATTACACAGACGTATCAGTGGGACCTTCATAACAGGGCTCCTTTCTCCAATGCAAAGACTTTAGCTCTAGCGCCAAATGACATAACCGGCACAAGATGGCAATGTACAAAACCTCTGGAGGATGTTTTAGCCTCATTTTTGTACAGTGGAAAGAAGAAGAGACACATCGTCCATCTTTATTATACAATCTTTAGTGTCTAGGTCTTGTATTCCCTCCCTTTTATCTCAGTTTTTGGTCTCCACCACCTCCTGAGGGAAACATCTGTCTCTTTAGCTGCTAAAAGCTCCACTATGTTCACCAGCTGCTCCCTGAATATGTCTCTCTGCTGTTTGCTGCTGAGCAGGTAGTGGACTGTGGCTCTTTACAGCCGTTAACTCTGAAAACTGCTGCTGTTGTGGTCAAAACCAATGCTGTGAGAGTGCTGAGAGGGAAGCACAACAGTAAACAGATAAACCCTCACTGTCGAAAGCAGAGGGGATCACCAGGTTCAAGTGAAGATTCTCTAAAGGCTCATGAATTACCTGTCACTTACATATTGCACTAATTGCAGTGCAGGCATCACGAGTCAGAACCAAAGACATCACAGGTTCTTGATGACATGGATGCAGATGATGTTGTCATGCCAAATAAATCTAAAACTCCCATCTTGTTGCGATTGAAAATTCTCACCAGGCAACGAGTCAAACCAAACATTTGAGTTGTTTTCCTGTTTGTTGTAATCAGTGGGAACAAAAGCCGTGGACAGATCCACAAAGTTTGCCGCACGTGGTTTTGTTTTTTTAAGCCAATGTCCACAGCAGCAGCTGCAGCAATTGTCCATTATGAAATCATTTTGATCCTGAAGAGGCTGCGCTGACACTGGCCTACACACCATCGCACCAAATAATTTTTTCCACAATATTTTTTTTGTGTGTTTGTACAATAATTAAAGGTGCATTTTTAACCTGTTACAGGTTAACAAGTATACCCATGAGAGAATGTGAGAAAATAAATCCAGCATTTTCTTTTAAAGTAAATCTTCATTAACATCTGCCAGTCTGGTTCCATCGTCACTCTCCTCCTCCTCCTCCTCCTCCTCCTCCTCTTGGTCATGTAGACTTCTGTTGTCAGCTCTGATGTGCAGCAGCGCTGACATACTGAAGACTGCAAAGCACTTTCGAGGAGGACTTTCACAGGACTGTTCATCCATGCTGTCAGTTTGTCCTTTTTGTCAGCTTGCACCTGAGTTAAGCAAACAAGAGAATTTTGCCTCTTCCCCCTCTTATCGTGTTGGATTGAAATGTATTTTTCTTTTTACCTTATTGTTTTTTAATTTCCACGTCTTCAAATTCTAGTATGTTTATTCTTAGTGGCTCTTTTGTCTCTCCAGTTCTCAACTGAAGTCTAATTAGGTGTGTTAAAAACAGAGTTACTTCAGGAGACTCAACCTAATGTAAATGTAGTTTTTTAAATTCTTGGTTTGACCGAGAGCCAATATCAAGATGTATTATAGAAGGACTGCAGCAAGCTAAAAGCTCTGACTGTGCATCAAACTACATTTTCATAATGGACTTAGTGCAGTGATTTTAAGACTGTGTCGGAAATAGCTCCATATTGCTCCCTAAATAAAAAGCACAAAAAGGATCCTTAGTGAACTTTCACATTTACTTTGTGCTGAACAGTATAGTGAAATGTTTGATTCTTTATTTCAACTTTTTTATTGTATTTCAGTCGTGATTCTTTATTAATTTTGCACTGTCACTTAGAGTGTCACTGCTGTCATTAACAACCTGTATGTACAAGCCAACCAATCAGAAGACAACGTGAAATGACGCAGAGCAAACTGGAGGGCAGGAAAAATGTTTGTGCCGAAAAACATCATTATCATCATATTTACTCTAAAAATATAATTTTTAGCAAGTAACACGTACTCTTTAGTTAAGTAAAAATAGTGATGCCACAATTTTAAAAATACTCTGTTACATGTAAACAACTTGCATTAAAAATTCTAATGAAATAAAAGTACAAGTAAACTACTACTATATACATTTAGATCGTTTAGTCCACAAGATAAATGTCAGGGGTCATGAAATGATGAATGGAGTAAAAAGAAAATCATGAAACATTTGACCACTTTTCATTCTTTCATCTTTAAGGAAAAAAACTTTCGTAGACATAGACACAGCTTTTTATGAAGGGTTTTAGAATGGATCATTCCCATTTATTAAATCTCTCTCTCTTTCTCTCTGGGGTCTTATTTGGGGAAACGGCAATAACACAAAACACTTTTGTTCAAGTAACTGGACCCTGATTTGTGTTCCTCTGTTTGCGTGTGCAGGCTTTGCAGGGACCCCTGGCTATTTGTCCCCAGAGGTACTGAGGAAGGAGGCGTATGGCAAACCTGTGGACATCTGGGCCTGTGGTGAGCTCTTTGTCTGTTTCTGTTTCAACTCCTCCTTGCTCTCCTTGTCGTCGCTCAGACGGTGGTTGCGTTTCCGTGTACGCAGGTGTGATCCTCTACATCCTCTTGGTGGGATACCCTCCGTTCTGGGACGAGGACCAGCACAAACTCTACCAGCAGATCAAAGCTGGAGCGTATGATGTGAGCCTGCCTCTGTCACTGTTATCCCTCCAGAAGTCAGACACAATGTTGTTTATATGTATGATGAACTGTAATGTGTGCATGCATGGGTGTGTATGCGCTTTAGTTTCCCTCCCCAGAGTGGGACACGGTGACTCCGGAGGCTAAAAACCTGATCAACCAGATGCTGACTATCAACCCAGCCAAGAGAATCACTGCCCAGGAGGCTCTGAAGCACCCATGGGTCTGCGTAAGTACATAGATATACTGTGTAGCCATATACGCACACCCAGCTCCCTGTTTCTGGAGACAGGAAGATATATTTCATGCCCCCAGTTTGACACTCCAACAATTTGTGATTTGTAAATCCCCTGACAGCAAGGTTGTGAACATCTGTCCAATGCTGCCAAAATATCAGCACCATCTGTTTCCAAACATGCGATCTCTGATATCTGCTGATACTGGGTCAGCTTATCTTGAATAATTTGTTCCACACAAGGGCGAAAGAGCAACCTATCTCAGGGATAAGCACTTCTATCTGCTCATCGTCAACAAAAATATGACAGCTGCTTACAGGCAAATTCATGACTCTCTGATATGTGCAGTTAAGATGCATGAGAGGGTTTGTTGTACATAAAAGTAAGAGGTTGGACAAACTAATAAATGATAAAATAATAGATACACATGAATAATAATAATAATAATAAGGTCAAACATTTTCTTCAATCATAAAGATATTTTCATTTCCTCTTGGGAAATCAATGAAAATTACTTAATCTAATCAGGTTCTTTCTTGGCTCATGTCCCATCATAAGTGTCATGGAAATCCATTCAGAATAATTCTACAGACAAAACACACAAATGTTAAGAGTGTAAACATATGCTCCTCGTGTGGGTAACTACTGTACTTCCCCCCCAACAAACTATCTGTAAAATGTTTGTTGTACATTAATGCATCAGTAATTCTAGTGCAATATTACATAATAATAATAATAAAGTCATATCCTATTACACACTTATTGCAGACATAAAAGAGGAAAGGAAGTAAAAATACACATCCATTCCCATATACATAATAACAGTAGTGCCCTGACAGAAAAACATCTAGTTCTCAATCAAATAAAATGGAGTATTTTTCTAAAGAAATTATTATATTGCTAACTCTACTCATAAATAAAATAATAAGAAATAAAAGGTATAGTATGGCATAGTATATGTCTTGTTATAAAACAGCATGAGCATGTGCAGCTGACGTTTGTCAGGATACTATCAAACCAACTTAAATCTATTTTTCCATTGTTTTGTTTCATTTTTTTATTTTTACCACAAATGTCGCTCCTGAATCAAAACGTTCCAGCGAAACGAGTCTGTGCAACAGCTCCTGCCCACATAAGCCTGTCACTGTCAGAGCTGCTCCTCCACTGTTTTATTTTCAGCATCTCTTTCTCTCTCTCTCTGTCTCCCCACAGCAACGCTCAACAGTGGCCTCCATGATGCACAGGCAGGAGACAGTGGAGTGCCTGAAGAAGTTTAACGCCAGGAGGAAACTCAAGGTGTGGAAATGCCCAGTGGCTTGAAATGAAGTTGATTCAGTTACCTCTACACAATCTTCAGCGTATTATTTGCAAACAAAATTTCACACACTGCAAGATTTTATTTCGATCCCGGGTTCTCTCCTCTTTTTTCAGACGTGGGGGTGTGGAACATTGCTTCGTCTGTTAAAGTTCTGATTTCTTTTGCCTTGAGGACAGTTACAGGATGCAGTTATTTTCTGATGATTTTCTTTTGTTGAATTAAACACAATTGTATTAATTAAGCTCATGAACTGGGAGAGAAAGAGAGAACGGTAATAAATGCTGTGATCAGTGAGGAGGAAGTGCTTTTTTTCTTGTTCTCTCGCAAGTTGAGTCACAACTAGGTTTTAATGACAGTCCTGAGTGAATCTACAAATTCATTTTTCATCATTAAATGAAATTTGAATGTAAATTCTGGTTCCTGACTCTGTATAAGCCCTGACTGACAAGACGTTAAGATGGGACTTCTTAGAAGCTCTTATGCTGTCATTCATTTAAATTGAAAATATAAATATAGCACTTTTGGTCTTAGTGTTGCACTTTTAAGATTTTTTTTTTTTGCACCAAAAATACATTTTACAGTCTGATCTGATGTGAGAGGAATCTTCTCAACACTTTTTTAATTTCCTCTTTGACAGTGCTTTCTACTTAAGTCAAGTATTCTGTTTTTTTCTTGTGTGTGAGAGAATTATGAGACGCTACATTTTCCCGCTGATCTTAGGCGGTGGAACAAGATGTCCTTTCAGGTTTTTCTCCCTGACGCTTTCATTCAGACCTGTTGTGACTGTCGTCGTAAGTTTTACATAAACAAGGCTGCCCTTTTCAATATTAGACGACTGTTATGAAATGGGCAGCTGTGGCTCAGGGTGCAGAGCGGGTTGTTCCTTATCCAGAAGGTTGGCAGTTCGATCCTAGTCTTCATGCCATATCATACTGTCCTTAGTGAAAAAGTACTGTAGAACGCTGAGTGGTCATTAACACTAGATAAGTGCTATATAAATACAAACAGTTTACAGACAGACCAGGATTGTGTCCTAAAGAGGCTTAAGACCCATTCTTACTTGTTTCCTCTCCTCTACCCTGACAGGGAGCCATTTTGACCACCATGCTCGTCTCCAGGAACTTCTCTGGTGAGTGATGCCTGTTGCAAAGACGAGAGAGAGTCAAGGGAACATCTCAGCGCTCTGAGCGGGAGAGGAGAGAGGAGAACAGGATGACATCCCATCTGTCTTCTGCCATCTCTTCACACATACATACACACACACACACACACACACACACACAGCAGGTTGATGGGCGGCAGTGTTAGAGTCAGAAGGAAACACAGCAGAGATACTTGCTTGGTTTTTGTGCTACAGATTCATACAGTATAACATGTTTTAAAATGGAGCTGAGCTTGATCCGTGTGATGGACTGATTCTCTTGTCTTAAATCATGCTTCAGTTCATACACTCACATGCATTTACAGGTGTAGCGTGTGGATTTCAACAGGTAATAAGTCTAATAAGCCCAAATCGAACATGTCCATTGTGCACTCACCAGAAATATTGATCGCAACATGTGGCCATCTGCTGGCTGTTGTGCTCACTTGACATTAAGGTTCAGTGTCTCGAGTTAGTGACATCTAGTGGCAAAGTTGTTTGCAACCAAAATACCGCTCACCTCATCCTGCTTTTTAAGAGTGTGGTAAAAACATATGTTGGTATTCAGGTACTGTGAAGATGCAATATTGTAGTTGTAGAGGGCTCATTCTAAGGCAACGAAAACACAAGGTCCTTAGTTTCAGGTATGCTGGAAGTAGAGGAACTGAGCCCCCCCCTACAGGCAAAGGGCTGCAATAAGTAATATTTGTAGAGTTACATATTAGTAAGTCTTAACATCCACACATTATTATTATGTGTATCATATTTAATTTTATTTTAGAATATTCAGTGTATTTTCTGTGTAACCTGCTGCACACTATAACATGACCAGATAAGCCTGGGTGTGTTATTAGGTTCAAATCAATTCCTGATTCCTGGGTGACCTGTCCACAGATGACCTCTCCTGCTTTAATATTCTGCATGTTGGCCTTAAATCCTTATGTCTGATGTTGTGTAAAACTACTGTAAGACGTTGTTGGCCATTTAAATTAATACAAAAATCATAAATGTTGCGCTACTGCAGCATTTAATATGAAGCACCTCCCAACTCTGGCTGACTTTCAGCTTCCCCATTATATACTAATTAAAGCATCAATTTATATATTATATTCCTTTCTTTTAAAAGTTGTGTTTCACACTCAGCCTCCAAACTGTTTTAAGTTCACCACCCGAGTACGTCCACTGAGAGTTATTGGACTAATAAACAGTAAAAACTACAGCTTTTCATACACTGTTGATACACGTAGCAGCCGTTTTGGATTTTGAAGTCGGGGGTGGTGAGGTTCCTCTGTCCTACTGAGTTGAAATTCCCACTTGATGGAGTGTTCCAGTTGCATCTTCCAACCTTGGGGTTGGTAATTCCCAGCTCCGAGGTATAATGGAACAGGGCATTACAGCGCGCTGCATGTTACCATACAGTCAGTGTTAACACAATCAGGAAATAACAGAAATAACAAGTGTGAGGATGGACACATGCAAATTGTGACCCAGCCTCTTTGTTTGAAGTCAGACAGAGGCAGGTTAACATCTGCATGAGTCATTCACATTGATAAAACCTCAAAACACAAAATAGATAGACCCAGTTTACAGCTGTCATTTTACAGAATATAATTTGTTGCCTTTTAAACTAACAGTCTGCAGCATCACAAATAACTCAGCCTCTTTGAAAATGATGTTGGTGTTCCTTTGTAAAAGTTGTGGTGCGAGAATTCTCTATTATACGTTCAAATTAAAATGTTGCTGTTTTGTATTTCAGTATTGTTCAACAGATTTCCCCTTTTTTTGTTTTATCAAATGGACCAACTAGGACGTTCTGTGTCTCATTCACCTCTGTCATAGAGCAGCAGAGAACATGGATTAATCCAGTTGCTAAAATCCTCAGTAAATTATTTAGCCTCAATTAAAAATATTTACATTTGTGAGGTTTTTATCCTGAGTAGGAACCAGTGACTTAGAGCTGAGAACCACAGACGAGAAGTCAGAAAGTGTTGAGATTAATTTGGTTGTCTCAGGATTTCTTAATATCAAGAAGTGGCACTCTGCTAAAGACAAATAAATGGCAGATTTAGCATTTCACTCGCTCTAGATTATTTATCTGGAGCTACACCAAGTCACTGCTACTCACAAATCTTAATGCCATAAAGAGAATATGTATATATATGTTTTTTACATCAAGATCCAAACATTATTCCTGGAGAAATGGATGAAATGCTAAGAAAAGTAATAAAAAAGTAATTTAAACAAAGTTACTCGATTCTCCCCTTCAACTTGATCCACACCTAAATGTAACGGCTCATTGCCTGGTCCATGTCACAAGTCCTCCACCAAGTGTGGTGCAAATAGATTTCAAAATGTTTTGTTTGATTCTTTTTGACAAATAAAGAATCAGATACAGAGTGATTACTTTCTTATCCTTTTGGAAGCAGCGCTAAATAACCATGTCTTTCTGCCTTTTCTTGTGTTTCAGTCGGTCGGCAGACCACAGCCCCCGCTGCCATCAGTGCAGCGGCTGGAGCCACCGCTGGCATCGTGGAACAAGGTGGACTCACATTTTTTTAAATCTCTACTTTTTTATTTACACCACTGATCTCCCCTCACTTAAAACTTCACTGTACATCCTTTGCTCTCGCTGAACTCGTGGCAGACATGATTAAAATGGAAACAACATCACGCGCTCCTTCTGTTCCTCATCTTGTTTTAATCTCTCTTCCTAAATCTTCCCCCTACCCCCCCTCCCTTTCCTTCTAATGCTTCTCAAATGTTTGCCAAGGTAAGCAGCCTCATCCCTCATCTGGGAGGGGAGAGTATTACTGTTCCCACTTCCATGGGTTAGGGCTTCTCTGCCCTGCAGGGTATTAAGAGAGAAACTGTGTGCATGCAGAGGCTTAGATGTGCTATAGGGGAAAGCAATGCTTCTGAATGTTTTGTGCAAAGATTCAACATTTGTGCAGTTTGGCTTTTAAGCTGGGGTTCGCACACTCGCGAACCCCAGAGCATCAGTGTTACTGCCGTGAAGGATTAGCATCAGCGGGACTGTGTGTTGTGAATAGCATTTAAAACATACTTTCTGTGCTGCTACACCACAGAGTTGTGCACAGTTCCTGCCCATCAATGAACTCTGGAGTGATTCCAACTAATCCAGCCTACACTTTGAGATTAACAAACCCATTATCACATACCTGAATCTCCATTCCACTTCCCTCATGCTTTCACTGTGGGAACCCCCCCGATCTGTGCGTGCATCTGTGTGTGAGTGTGTTTGGATTATGTGGAGAATTAGTTTGAGTTTTTTTCCCCCTCTTGCCTGATGCCCTCTGCTTATCTAATGCTTTGGCCAATGGATCAGGGTTAGGAGGTGCCAGTTGGATGGAGATTTTTTAATGTGTGTGTTTATTCGTTGGGGTTTTAATGTCTTTTTACAGGACAGACTTTTTTTTCATTCAGAGGGAGGGATGATTTTTTCTCCTTTAAGGGTTGTGGGGAGGAAATGTGGAGAGACAAGCACAGTCACTCTTTGTGTGGTCTGCTTGTTCATTTCTGAGATGTCCAGTGCTTTGATGAGCAGGTGATTTTTTTTGTGCATGCATGCATCACTGTGAATCTGTGTGAGCAGAGTTAAGAGCTGTGGTCATCTGAAGGTGTATGATGTGTACTCTTCCATCTGAGGGTGTGTCATTCTGCCTCTCTGCAGCAGCCAAGAGTCTCCTCAACAAGAAGGCTGATGTCAAGGTAAGATCGCTTTTCCTGCCTCCCCTCTATGCTTGTTCATTTTCATTTGCATTATTTCCTTTTTATGTCCTCGGCTCTGGAGGCCCTTTGCCCTCAGAAATACTTTTATTATTCTGTAAATATTTTGGTCAGTGGCAGATGCGGATGATTTAAATTGTCAAATGCTGTAGTTCTCACTTTAATATTTTCAAGGTGATGTTTTTGGGCTTAACTCCACAGCATAATGTCTGTGTCATTCCCTGCCCTTCACTTTTATTTCATGTTTTATTTCAGAGATGTATTGATACCTCTCTCTGTCTTCTGCCTTCACTTTATATAGTTCTCTTTTGATTTTAACGTTATCTAATGTCTCTGATAATCGTGGGTGTCTCCAAAGAGTGGCTAGTTGGCATTAAATCTGCAAGTCTCTGGACTCTACTGGAGAGATGCAGCATCGTTCAGGTGATGATCTGGTGACTGTGGAGGCCACAACATATGAGTCACATCATTGTCATACTCCAATCAATCAGTGACCCAATGTGCCCTGTGAATGGAGGCCTTTGCATTCTTTGTCTCCAGTAGTTTTTCTGGATTTACCATTAATTTGTCGCTTGTGTGTAACAGTGTATGTATACATACACTCATCACTCATATCTCAGTGACTCTGTGACACCTTGTCTCCTTGAAATTACATTTCTGTACAACATCATTTGTAGGAATGAATACTTTTCTTTTTAAAAACTCTACATTTACTAACCGCTGCTGCATGGTCAGGACGTGGGCGGGTGACGGGCACACAAAGCACACAACTCTCACCACTCATCAAATGTGGTGGATTTGGTCAAATGTAAATAAGGTTGTGTCTGGAATCACTGTGAACATTGTGTTTCAGCATCAAACCATTAGACCAGGATCTTTCCCTGAACTTTGTCCATTACTGAGGGGGAGGGTAGAGACAGAATTATTAACAGCATGAATCCATGGAGATAAACTGTCCTGCATCAACAGTCAGGCTGCTGCTGCTGCTGCTGCTGCTGCTGCTGCTGCTGCTGCTGCTGCTGCTGCTGCTGCTGCTGCTGCTGCTGGTGTGATGATGCGGGGCTGCTGTTGTCTTCACACAATTTGGGCCTTAATACCAAACATTTAAATGTCACAATGTATCTGAGTATTGTTCCTGACCATGTTCATCCCTTCATGGCCACAGTTAGCATCTTCTAATGACTACTTCCTGCAAGATAACGCTCCATGTCACATACACATACATACATCAGTGCCCTCCACAGTCACCAGATGTAAATCCAGTAGAGTCTTGTGGTAGAACAGGAGAGTTACATTGTAGGATTTACTATATGTATAAACCAGTTGCTATTCAGGATAACAGCTACACCCTTACACCCTTTACTAAAAAACCCTCTCACTTCCCGATGGTAACTTCTCTTTAACAGGCTGGTTTGACCGAGCTGTGTTACCTGCTCTCCACGCTCAGACACCTCCATTTGGCACAGTCAGCACTTTGCATCACTCCACTGCAGACATTTTTCTCCCCAAATATTTCCCTGTGCCAAAACAAAGCTCATTAAAGTACGAGGTCGGAACTTTTTCATCTCTTGAAGACGGACGCTGAGCCTGCAGTGACTCAGACCACAATGACGTTATCGGTGCACCCCTGTTAGCTCCTTTCTCCTCCTCTGCCTTACAAGTGTCTGAAGGCAGTGCACTTTGAAACAAATGTATGTTTATGTGTGTTCGTTGTGTGTCTGCTGTGGTGCGTTTGCTTGCACGAGGGAGTTTGTAGCCTCTTTGTAAAATCTGGATGAGCAGTTCACTGGTTAAATTTGTTTAAAGTTGGATGTCGGATAACATCACTTACAAAGCCTAGACGTTTTTTCCGAATCTTTTATCTTATCTAGAAATAAGCTGATATGTTGTCTGCACAACTAACATGTAAATACACATCAAGAACTTGTATGACTACATTCATAATGCTACATAGTTTGGATTTTGCTAAAGAAAACCCGCTAGGAATCATGTTCTTATGAGATGAAATTTAATTTTATTTCTGTGCAAAAATCAAAGCTTGTACAGTTTATACTTTACTGTAGATCTTCTTCACACAAGACGATGAGTTGTGTGTTCCTTGGACAAAATTGTGTGTTTCTGCTCTCAGCTCGCAGCATCTGACTCGGAGCAAAGAACATTCCCTTTCGATGAGGGATCTAAGATTTGGATTCCGTTTACATTCCGTTTACATTCCTATTACAATTTTTCTTTGCATTATATTTGGATCTTTTTCAAATCTGGATCAAGAGATAATGACTTTGTTCAAAAGATGAAACAAAGGATGTATTTTTTGAGATCTGCTGCAGCTCTGTACCTGCTGGAGTTAATGGTGTGAGAATGTTTAAAGCCTCCTGTTACTCTCTCTCTCTTGCTTTCTCTCTGACACACTCTTTCACCATTAACCCCCCTCACCTCCCTCTCTTCCTCTGCAAACTGTCTTTCCCCTCCCTCCCTCCCTCCCTCCCCCTTCGGGTGGCCTGATGCTAATCTCAGATTATTTCCCACCAGATGATTAATCTCTCATTACATAATCGTAGCTCTCCCCTTGCTGCACCGACGTCACGCCAATGCACACAACCCCTGGAGCTATTTCAGTATCAGCACATTCTTTTTTCTCTCTCTCTTTCTCTCTTACACACTCATCTCAGTTTCCTGCAACTTCCTGTGGATTTGCTGTGGATTGGAAACTTTATTTGATAGTGTTTGTCACTGTGTGTTGACTCTGTGATGGGCTGTCCAGGGTGGACCCTGCTTCTTGGTCATTGTCTGCTTGGATTGTCCCCCATGTCCCCCACGACCCTCAAAAGGATAAGCGATATAGATAATGGATGGATGGCTTTTGTGTAACTATGAATGTCTCAAGCTTTCAAACAAAAGTAACTCAGTTTCAGCTTAGACCCAGTCATCTAGATGTCTTTTGGTTGAGTATTAGTGGATGAACTTTCAGACATAGCAGTACTGTACTCATTTGGAGCTGCGGTACCATCACTTTATGGTGATTAGGCCTAATTATTCCCACACCATTGGATGTGGAGGCTACAACAGCTAGGGATATGGCAAAAAAAACCTAGGAAGGCACAGAGAAAAGATTTGGATACTCCAGATAACTCCAGTCTTTAGAGAAAGGGTGATATTTGTACAGTTTTTGGAGTCGGCGGAAATATGTAGCAATAACGCACGGACCAAAATGGATTATTGCCTTGAAACTGAAAATAACTGTAAAATCGTGTTTATGTAATACCTCTTACAGCCACAAGAAGAAGATAACTGTGTCAGCACTGCAGGTTTCGCAGCCATCAGATTATTAATGCGCAATGTGAAAGGAGTCGCCTGCAGAGGGAGTTTTCAAGTGACTCAGCAGCTCTACAGAGCTTTTTAACTTCTTTCAGCCTTTAATTTGGCAAATGCTGGTTCATTATCACTGTCCTCATCAGAGTCATTCCCAGCAGTAGTAGGTGAGACGTTTCAGATCAATGCATTATATGCTGCATTACCAGCACTAAGCTGCAGATGGAGAGAGTTGGCGTAGAGTCAGTAAAGCAAGTGGAGCATTTAGCCACAAATAAGAGATGGTTCTCTCAGAGGTTGGTGGAAGTCAAATCAGTGCACAGAGGCGAGTGAGTTTCTGCATGTGAAGAGATGTTTTGCTGCCATATTAGCTGTAACAATTGATTAGCCAGTTCATATCTTCTTGTTTTGCTGTGCTCTAGTGGCCACTAATAAAATGTATAATAACATGTAGTGAAATGCCTCCTTTCAGCAAAACACCATTTACAGTCAGAACAATGATAAAGTATGTAAGTGCAAACCATTTCCCTCCATTTCCTTAAACATATCTCTTAACGTATTCATCTCCGTAGCTTTTCTTTTCTTCCTCTTACAGCTGGAGACAGTGTGTTACAGTCATTTGTGTTCCTGTAAGAGCAAGATACAGTCATTTGCTCAGTAGGAATATAAATCGCCTCCTTCCTCCTAACAGAAACCCTCATTAGACATAAAGGCCCATTTGCTGCAGCATATAGCTCATCTTGTGCTTCCCTCAGTCTTGGTGGTGTGGATGATTTCTGTGTTTATCCTCCTACAGATCCTCCAACATCCTCTTCATCCATTCTCTCACCTCTTTACTCAGGGAATTAGAGCTGACAGGAGATTTGTGGAATTCAGGTTTTGAGCTCGTACCCCCCGTGCTCTGAGCGTTCTCTCTCCAAGATTGTTTGATGGAGAACAGTGATCTCACTGTCTCTCGCTTTCTCCTCCATCCTCTTTCTCTTTCATCCGTCCCTTCTCTTAGAGCTCCTCTAAGCAAAGTGTCATCCCTCCACGTCACCCAGGGATTCCCAACAGACTATCACATCGACTGTCACAATTATTAACATCAGCGGAGGCAGTGTTCGAACAAACCACCTGAGACTCCTGCCTCTATGTTTTTTGCTAAATGCAAATAAACCTGTGTCTCGTGATTCAAGTCACTGAACTTTTGTGTATTCATCCAGACTAAGATATATATTGTGTTTTGTTTTTTTTGGGGTTCAACATCACAAACGCACCGGAAACAGAGAAGATCTCTCAGATGGCTTACATTACGTTAACCACAGGGTATGAGTGTCAGAATTGGTGTTTACCATTTTCTTTCCATTTAGCAAGCAGGGACTGAGGTTGGATGATAGAGGAGCTAGCACCAAGAGTGTTGTGGATTACATAGGTTCTCCAACCGACTTTAGTGCCGGCCTGTATAGTCTTAATAAATGGCAGAGAGGTCAGTGAGGCAGGAGAGCAAAGTTCTTCTTTGACATCTGTCCAGTTGCATTTTTTTGACTGGATGATGACGCTGGATGAAAAGTCAGACCACCAGACCAGATCAATCACCAAAGATTGCAATTCATCTTGAGGCGAACAAGAACACGTTAAATCAATACATCTATGAGACTTTTTGTCTGAACCAAAATATTACAACCACTTGAGGAAATTGTGGGAAATATCTCTTTATAAACTGGTATTTAAAAATAAAATAGAAATTGCAAAAATCCAAGAAGCAAACATCAACAGCTTTATAAAGTATGTAGAACAGTTTGATGTAGAAAAGAGAAAATGATTTGGTCTGAATACCCAGACTATTTTTATATAGCGCTTTTCTAGTTTTACATTATAGTTTTCCATTCACCCATTCACACACACATTCATACAGTGCTTCTATAGCTAGCACTTTTTTTGATGATCTATTGGGCAATTTTGGGGTTCAGTATCTTGCCCAAGGACACTTTGGCATGCAGATGGGAAGACTGGGGATTGAACTTCCGACCTTCTGGTTGGAGGACGACCGCTCTACCCCCTCAGCCACAGCCACCCCACCCCACCCCACAAAGCAGCATGTTTTAATGAATGGACAGCAGCAGAAGATCTGTGGATGTAAAGGTCACCACATTGTAATTGTTCTGTTATCAGACAGTTTGAGAGTTTAGACTTAGGTCTCTGTTATTCGCAGACTTTGTTCACACACGATTCTTCTCACCTCAGATGGCAGTGCTGCAGGGTGTCAAAATAAGGACGCCACAGAGGAAGGCTGCGTAGATGATGGAGTTTAAATTGAACCGAATGCTTCCATACGCCTCTGGCTGGTTTACTGGCAGGATAAGCTGCACGGCAGGAACCTTCAAAGGGGAAATACTGATGCTTAAAATTCACTGGGGGATTTTTGCCCTTTGATTTTCAGTGACACTAACAGGCAACTCTAATTCCAGTTCAATGCAACAGACGGGGGTCACCTCAGTAGCCACAGAAGCTATTACCCCAACTTTACTCAGGAGTGTAGAGCTGCAGTGAAGGGTTTTCATTGATATAATGACAATTAGACGTCAGCACTTCATCGTCTGTAGGCACAAACGCTGATAAACTTTAATTTTTCTTAATGTTTCTTGATTGGAAGCTTATGGATCATACTGAACCTAAATTTCAGGTGATGAATAATTGCTAATTAATTGATTAATTGATAATGAGTATGGGGTTGAAAGTACAGTTGTTGCCTTTATACACATGCTAAACTAGTTTGGTGCTGAAATTATTAGTAATGGTCAGTGATTCGTTATACTTAATAAGAAGTACACTTTTTAAAGCTGCATCTAGACGTTTTTTAAAAATATTGTTACATCATCTCTAACTCCCGTTCTTTCTCCTGCTCTTTTCCATCTTCACTCTATTACCAGCATTTCATTTGGTCTTTTTAAAAATTGTGTCCACCACAGTCGTCAATTACAGGCAAAACCACGCTGAGGAAAATAATGAGCAGAAAATACAGTTAATTGGTTTCAAGCATGAAGTCGCCGCAGCGTGATTACATTGTGTGTGTGTGTGGCTGTGGTTGGTTACGTCCATCGGTCCTCCTTACATTTGAATATATAGCACATTATTACTTTCTTATGTGTGTCGACGCTGTGTCTTTTTGACCTCATCGTCCTCTGCTGAAATGAGGCTGCCGGATGTTGTTTTACTTTGGAGAGATACATTGAGAGACACTTAAGTCCGTGGGAAGAACACACAGAGTTTGACAAAATGGATTTGATGCTTGTGTCTTTGTATCTGACAGATGTTGCGAAGGTGCACAGCTGTCACTGGTGTAATTTGCCATCTGCCAAGCCAGCATCCGAAGCCAGTGAAAATGAAAAAGCTCAGACTTGCATATCTGAACTCTGACTGGGGTTGTGTTCAATTTTATCACAAGGATAAAGGAACTGACATGATTAATAGTGCAAAACCTTTTTGTGTAATTAACACTGTAGCCAGAAACAGGGGCTAAAGCTTTTTGGGATCTTTGGTGTGTCTGCTCTCTCAAACCCTGGAAGTTGGACAACTGCACTCTGCTCTTTCTTCTCACTGTTCTTTTCTCCAGAGCACTCTGCGTCTGTCTGCTATTTTTACCTCTATTACACTTTTTACTTATTTATTTTTTTTCTTACACAGTAACCGCCCACTTTACAGTCAGCAGATGGCACCTCTCACTTTCATTGCTGCTGAGCACTAATATAGCACTTTGTGTTTCCTGCACAGCCCCAGACAAACAGCACGAGAAACAGCATAGTCACCAGTCCCAAAGGCAACATCCCCTCTGCTGCGCTGGTATGCAGCTCTGTGTCTGTGCGTCCGTCTGTCTGTCAGAAACACGGTCAAAATGCTGTGTGTGTTTGTGTGGGAGAGACATAGAGACCGAGGTTGAGGATGGGTGGTGGTGCTGTATTATTTTTACTTTGTTTTAAAGGAATAGTTTGACAATTTGGGAAATGCACTTATTCTTGTCTTGAAACCACTGAACTAACTGAAATGGAAGTGGAGACGAGTGATGAAAGCAACGCAGGGCGAGACAGTGCAACTTGTTTCTGTGGGCTGCTCCAATACTTTCAGCTGTGATGTCTGCGTGACACAGTTGTCAGCAGCTTGTCAGGAGCAACACTCTGCTGTGTGATCGGATTTCAAAACCGAGCTATGACAAAGCGGGATTTCTCGCAAGCCAGGATTTCTTCTTTCCAGGCTCCAAGCTATTGGCTTGTGGCTAAACCACAGTGGTTTGTCACAGAGGAACCACTGGTGTCTTAGTTCCTGTTCATGCCTGGTATTTACATGTGGTTTTTGTGATTCGATCACAGCTCTGAGTGCGTGTGTTCATACCTGACATTAAAACATGGCCCCACATGCGTCTTATAATCGGATCTCACTTTATATATACAATAAACATGCACATAATTTCTGCTTGCAAAGATGCAATGCATGGAAGCAGCAAGGAGAAGAAGAAGAAATCAAAATAACACAGATGATGCACTCAAGGCCGAGCAAATCTCTTCTGTTTGTTGTCACAGTTTAAATGACGCCTCCGGCTCAGAGCTGTCAGCTTGTGATCGCGTGCACCACATTTTAATACTAGGTATGTACGGGGTTTTAGTTGTGACAGCTGCAAGAAGCAGCTGTTAGCATTAGCAACATTATCAACTCCTAAAGAGGTTTGTGTAAAAGCTGCCATCTTATCAGTATTTCTTCAATGAAAGAAAACATGTTTGAGCTCTTCTTCGAAGTGGTTTCAGCAAACACGATGGACACTGACTGACAGATGGGTCATCCAGCACCTTTCCAGTATTTATTGAAGGAGCCTGCCCTTAAACAGTTTCCAACAAAGTCTTTGCAGAAACCTGTTTCTCTTTTAATATAGGCACCTGACTATTGTTTTAAGATAGACTCAAAAGTGAACCTCTCCTTTAAATGAAGATTGCAACACACACTTTCATATTTATGCATCTGGTTTTCTTTGTTTAATCAGACAGAGAAACAGCGGTTGACTTAAAATACTGAAGAAAGTCCCCTGGAAGATAGCTTTTAGATTTTCTACTAATTTAAAAAAGGAGATTTCTCGTCAGTGCACTTGAAGGATGCTGTAATTTGGATTTCTTTAAACAGAGCTGGGCTAGCAGTTTCCCCCTGTTTACAGTTTTAATGCTAAACTAAGCTGACTGTCTCCAGCCATATTCTTAGCAAGAATCCAAGCTAGTGCATTTCCCAAAATGTCCCTTTTCAAAGTATTAAATTGAATGTTCATGTCGTATGACCTTTGGATGTTTGTGTATCTTATTTTTCAAGATTATTTGCACACTGCTCACAGTAATAATTTTGACATGACAATGGAAATATAAAACAATGTCTTCATTGTAGTTTAAGGATTTAAGTCTGGTGTTCTTTGTTTTCTTCTACATGTTCATCAGTGTCAAAACTAAGGGATATAAAGACCAAAACCTACAATATGTTGGTGCCTTTCAATACTTTCTCACTTAGTACTATATCTATGTATATATATATAAGTTATATATATAAGTTATAATATATATATATATATATATATATATATATATTATAACTTATCCTTTAAAAGCAGTGAACAGAACTTAATGTATGTTTAGGTCACATAATGTCACATGTAATAACTTGATGTATTATTAAATGTCATAGAGAGAGAGTTGAGTTTAATAACTCTAAACATTGCTATAGATATAACACTCATTCTGATTGATAGTTTCACTGATAGAGACATTTATGGATTTAAAATCCTCCTGATGTTTATGATCATCACTCCCCTATTAAGAACTTCTCTTCAAAATGAACATATTTCACTCCTCTATGCCTCTTTTCTTTTCATGCACACCCTGCTCTCTATTAATCTTGTTTCTCAAACTTTCATTTTACAAAACATTCCCTCATTATCGCTTCTCTTCACTTCTTTATCATTCACTCACTTCGCACACTCTGTTCACTCCTCCTACCTTCCTTCCTTCCATCCTTTCTCTCTTTCTCCCCATTCTTCCTCCAGGAGCCTCAGACCACTGTTATCCATAATCCAATAGATGGGATCAAGGTACACCTCCCTTCTCTCTCCAAACCATCTCTGAAATTCTTTCCCTTTTTTACATTTGTCATCCCCGTCCTCACCCTGTTTCTCTATCTGTGTGGGTAGAGCCGTACTGTATTTGGAAAGACCTGTTGTTTTGCAGGATGTGTGTGTTTCATTGAGTATCTTTGCGTATTTCCGTGTGCATCTATGTGTATATTTATGAATGAGCGAGATGGTGGAGCTGTGACTCCAGCGAGGTGTTTTGTTGTCTTATACTGCCCCTCTGTGCTCAGGTAAATGGAGCTCAGTGGTCCCGCTGCTGGTTGAGAAAGACTTTCCACCAGATTAACCCTGTCCTACTGTTCAGACTGTGTGTAACAGTGGCTAAACGTCATGTGCTGTACAGTCACCTGTGTCCGTCTTTGCTGATTTGGCTCAATCCACAGACGGGATTGTGCCAGTGTGCTGCTGAGTCACACGCTCATCTGTTGTGGTCTTTATCTTTGGCAAATTTGTGGCATTAAGTTATAGTCCCATGTGGTAGATATGATCAGGGTCTTGTGTACATGTGTGCATGCATTTATGAGTGTGTGTGTGTGTGTAGCAGAACTTGTGGGTGTCTGCATATCTAAGAATGGCTTTTACATTTTTTGGGAGTAATTGAGATTTTTGTCTGTGCACTTTGCAGGGATCCTCAGACAGCAGCACCACGACTATTGAGGATGAAGATGTGAAAGGTAGGTTATACACACTTACTTTTTTAAAGCGGGAGGGATTTGTGCATCTACAGTTCATGTATGCAGACGTACTGGTGATAACCACAAATTAAAGTGAAAGCAACAAAGGGGTGATGCATATCCTGTGCACGCTGTGTATACCCCAGTCAGATAATGCTTACCTTTTAAAATTGTTTCATACTGACATAATCATGACATCATCTATACCATATGATGACTGGTTAATCTAAATTAGCTATTGGCGTGTTGTAACTGGTTGAAAAAGTCTGTATAAGCTTTAAGTCATGTCTATAGTCCTTTAGGATGCAGAGATCCTTTGAAAAATTGATTCTTGAACTATGCATGACTTCATTTTCTGACTTTTCTGACTGACATTACTTATCATATGACATTATATGATGTGGAACCTTTTTCTAATCAACACAAGATTTAGATTTTCTGTCTATAATTATAGAGATATTTTGGAAAATGAGTTTTCTTGACCCTCCCCTTGACCAATTAACTCTGATAGTAAATGGTGTTAAATACATTTTTAAGGTAACGATGATGAAAATAAAATAGTTTAATACATGATATGAATTTTAAGGGGAAAAGTCTTCAAAGAGTGTGTGTGTTTCCTAAGTGGATACATTAAAGCACATTACTGACTGTAGGTCACCTCCATTTTGGCAAGACTCAGAACTCAGTACACAATCATGGAGGTTTACTCGTAAAGTAAAGAGAAAATAGAGTTGAAGCGTGGGTCACAGTATGTGTGCAGCTAACACCCTGATTGATTGTAAATTACAGTAAAAATGTTCCTGAAACACTCGCCATAAAAAAACACAGCAAAATAAAAGATTTCTGAATTATTATTTAGAGATTGTTTTCCAATTCTAAATAAGCTTATAAATCTTTGACTTATCACTGTATCTGAGAGGGGTAGACATTCATTTATCTCCAATTTAACAGATGATGCACTGTTTGGAATTGTATATCCTCAATCCTTGTTTTTATTCAGGCGTTCAGTGTTGAATTTTTAAATCTTTTAGGAAGATTCTGGAAAAAAGTGTTGAATCAGTCGGAGTGTTGTGCAATGAGAGCATCAGTGTACACAGGGATACAGCCCCAGTGTCCTCACAGTGTTGCATGAAAACCATTATTGCATGGTTTCAGAAGGGTACAGAGTATAAGACCAAAATAACAACGTCTCATAAAAAGACAAACCGTAAATAGACATAGACATTATGATGGTAAGGTCATTATTGAAACTATTTACAATAAGAGAGAATGGCTGGAAAGAGCAACTAGAAGTTATATCCACTGAAAAAAAAAAAAAGAGAAAATATAATCCAAACAAAAACATATTGTCAAAAACATTAAAGGCACATTTTTTATGTGAAATAGATTTTTTTCTACTTTCTACTGACAATAGATTTTTTTATTAATGTATTAATTGTGAATGAAAATTGAAAGAGAGAGACAGACAGAGGGAAAGAGAGAGAGAGAGAGAGAGAGAGAGAGAGAGAATCAGAGCGAGCTAAGCCTTCCTTCCTCTCAGTGTTGGGAGGAAGCGATAGGAGGACACAGTAAATCTGATCTAAAAAGCTGAGACAAAAATAGCATGAGCTCAAGCACCTCACATGCAAAGCAGAGATATGATGGATGATGGGCGGAGGTTTAGATAGTAGCCCAGCTGCTGGACGCAGCAGGAAAAGGCATTTTATTTCTGGAAATGTAGATGAGGATCACCTGTCCTGCTGAGGGAAAAAGGGAAACCACAAAACTTCTTGCATGGAAGTAGTTTTGTTTACGTTTGCTCCAGCATGGAGGAGACTCCACTCACAGAACCACGGATGACAGAGAGGTGACTGACAATGAATAACAAGCTCTTAGGTGCGTTTGAACTCTGTTCAACTCTGTGTGCTTCCTAATGTTTGTGAGTGAGTTTGACCCGGAGTGTTGTGCAATGAGAGCATCAGTGTGCACAGGGATACAGCCCCAGTGTTCTCACGGTGCTTCTGTTTGGTCTCCGCAGCTCGCAAACAGGAGATCATAAAGATCACAGAGCAGCTGATCGAAGCTGTCAACAACGGGGACTTTGAAGCCTACGCGTGAGTCCATCGCTTCCTTATCACTCTTTCTTGTTCCATCAACAGAGACCTCATCAGCTGCAGGAAAATCTCCCATCAGCCACAGAGAACCATTAATCTGACCGACATGCTAATGTGTTCTCTCTTTGTATTAAAAGATTAAACAGTAATTACAGTCATTGTTTTATCCTCACACAACTAAGAATAGAGGCAGATTGTGAATGTACATGCAAGCGTGTGTGTGTGTGTGTGTGTACGTGTACAGATCTCTTTGTGAGGACCATTTTGAGCCCAGAACCTACGGCGTGAGGGCCTTTTAGGGAAAGTGAGGACATTTGGGTCGGTCCTCACTTTCTGACACACTGTTAATGAGCTGTTTAAGTGTTAAGACTTGCTTTTAGGATTAGGATTAGAATTAGCTTCAGGTTAGGGGTCAGATTTTTAGGTGTGATGGTTAAGGTAGAGGTAAGTGAATGCATTATGCCAATGAGTGAGTGTCATTACTAAGAGGGAAGTACAAACGTGTGTGTGTGTTTATTGGGGGGGGGGGTGCATGATGCAAAACTATTCAAATATTGACTCATAAAGTTGAGAGAGTTCAGTTGACTCACTAGCTAAACAATAATACATAATAAGTCAGAATTATGATGCTGAGTCACAACCTTTACACCAGGACATTTTGGTTTTGGTCCTGGTTTCAGAATTGTTTAAGCCCTTTCCTTTTACAGGAAGATCTGCGACCCTGGCCTGACCTCGTTTGAGCCCGAGGGGCTGGGTAATCTAGTGGAGGGAATGGACTTCCACAGATTCTACTTTGACAATCGTAAGTTTGCATTTAGCGTCTGTCTCATCTGACTTGAGTTGCTGATAAGTTCAAAAGCCACGTTCTGTCTGAATCGGGACACTCCCCTCTCCTGTCAGTCCTCTCCAAGAACAGCAAACCCATCCACACCACCATCCTCAACCCCCACGTGCACATGATCGGAGACGAGGCCGCCTGCATCGCGTACATTCGCCTGACGCAGTTTGTCGACGGGCAGGGCCGGCCACGCTCCAGCCAATCAGAAGAGACCAGGGTGTGGCACCGCAGGGACAGTCGGTGGCAAAATGTCCACTTCCACTGCTCAGGAGCTCCTGCTGCCCCTCTGCAGGGATAAGGTACAAGACACAACAATCCCAGCTCACACAGTGCACACACACATTCACATGCACACAGATACATATATTATATTGCCTGAACCATAGACTGTATATAAAGATGGACAAATCGTCTTGATTGCGACCTGGTGTCTGGCTGCAGCATAGGTCATAAACCCTGCCTCCTCCATGTTAGTGGATGAGACATGGACCAATCTAAAAAGTCAAAGTACACGTCAATTTTGACAGGAACTCAAAAAATGGTTTCTGTCAAATGTGTATGTTCAAATGGTCATTTCTCCAGTAAGTTCATTTTTCATTAGATATTTATGATATAAAAATGTCAAGATGGACAGCTGAGACTGACTCGTGATTGGTCGTGCGTTTGTATGGGCGGGACCTTGATAAATGACATGAAAAGTAAACAAAAAACAAACGGTCTCTTTCTTCTTCCAGGCACGTGAGACTGACGAGGAGGTCGAGAGGGGTGGACAAGGAATGAGTGGATAATCTAAGAGAGAAAGAGAGAGTCAGCGGCAAGAGAGACGGAGAAGTGGGTGGAGGTTGAGTTTAAGGAGTCTGATTATGGGATGGTGGCCGTCCTCCTGCACTCTGCACACCCACCTCGCTCTTCTCCCTCTGTCTCCCTACAACCTCGACAACAGACGCCGACAACGATGCTCCCATCCCTGCAACCTACAGCAGAGCAGAGGGCAGATCAATCCGCTGCTGAAGGAAACTGTGCGGCCCACATCTTGTCTTCTGTCGGCCTGTATGTGGCTGCAGTCTGACACTGCAACACACCTGGACGACACCTCCTGTGTTCTGTGCTCCAATGTGTCGCCCTCCCGTTCAAGATCTCCTCTCAAACATAAAGTTATTATTCCCTCCCTCTAGTATTACTATGGCTGCAGTCTATTGTTGTGCTCTTGCAACTGTACAGTGTATTTATGAGTCACTCTAAACCGTTCCTCCTGTTATTGTCTTCTTTTTTATGATGAGCATGACTCCTACCAGTTATTCTTATTACCAGTGGCTGTTTTTCTGCACGACTAGGGCTGCCTGTGTGAAATGAACAAGCCACGTGTCTCACAGAGAGAGACCAGTGGGTGTATTTAATTATCCGTTTTGTTATTCAACAGAGTTTTTTTTTTCTCTCTTTGCTCTGCAGTGTAGTGGACCCCAAATCCACTCCTCTGTGTTCACCGGGCCCCTCTGAGCATCTCTGTGAGACAGTGAAAACCATGCAGCATGCTAAGATATTACTGTTGCTCTTAACCGATTCTCTGTGTACTGAACATTGCAAGTTAACTGCTGAAATTATGACAATGGTTGAACTTCTAGGATCACTGCTGTTTATGTAAATTTCCAGTTTCTTCGTGGTGACTTAACTACAACTATGCTGTAGATGGTATTTAATTGCATGATATTCCAAGTTAATGCATTGGTGAGTTGGGTGTTATCGTGCATTTTGTTGATTTTTCTCCTTTTGGACTGAACTGCTGGTGAGCTATAGTCTATTGCCTCTCGTTTCTGGGCTTTGTAAGTGCATAAACTATTGTATTTTTGTGTTCATATCATAGTGTAGGATATAAGGATGCAGGTGGGGATGATAACAGAATATGCCTTTTAGAGAAATTGCTGGGTCCAGATCAGATTTTATGAGAGACCAAACCCAGGATCATAGTTTTTACCTTTCACAATCAAAACGGCCCTGTGAGGCTTCACATCAGGGTGTTAGTTGTTTATTTTCAGCATTTTAAAATGCACCTTTTAATTTGAAGGGGATGCTTTGTGATGCGTGTATGCAGGGTTTTAGAAAAACTGATTTGTCAAACATTTGACCTGACACGGAAAGCAAAGCCTCAAAATTATTGTTTTATAATAATTGTTTGGATTAGAACAAAAGAAAATCTGTAATTTATTGGTTTAGTTATTTTAACTGGAAGCTTATTTCAGTCCTGTCATCCAAGAGAAGTTTTAGAAAATGTATAATATATTATTTAGTCATCAATAAATAAAAAAAAGAATGTATCAACCCATACATGATCCCTAACATGACTATAATCAGTGTTTTTATAGTAAACTGTCATGTGACGAAAAACGATATCCATTTCTGTTAAGTAGAATCTTTCCAGGTTCTTCACATCCTCCAAAATCCCAGAGAAAAACCTCAGGTGTCCCTAAGATCTCCATTCCGACTCTTGTGATGTGCATGAACCTCTCCTCAAGAGGGCGCCAACATAAAACAACAGAGAATTGCTTGATTGAACCGCAGGGTTCAAAATACAGATGCGAGCAGTGCTGAGTTCTGCATTGAGCTGTGTGTGAGAGTGCGGCCTTGAGTCTTATAAAGAGTGGGAACAGAAAAAGATTGGCAAACTGTTGCAGGCAGGTCGTCAGTTAATTCATTTTAATCAGCGTTGATGACATCTACATTTTACAAATGCTTTTTGGGGAAAAAAACATCCTCTGTCCACTTTCTCACACGTGAGCATTAGCTGCTTTGTGTTTGACATTACCGGAAACTGAATATGTAATGATGCTGCACTGTTTGACTGCATTTCGAAATGATTGATTTATTAATTGATTGATTTAGCACACTGGATGATTGATTCGTTAATTTGGAAAACAAACCGCACATTTGAAAAAGAATGATGACAGCCATAATCTGAAAAGGTAATGCATTATCAGAATGTTTGTGAATTTCAATCATTTTTGCATTTTTACAATATTATGTTATTATGAAATAATGCTCTCAATTTCTAACTAATCGCTCAATCCACTACACATTTACAACCAATTCTAATCAAAATGATATGCAAAAGTTATTTCATCAAGTCAACTGACTGGAAAAGTTTTATTTCATTTACTGGATATGCTCTATAGAGTAAATAGAGACTATATTGTCTGGGGTCTGACTTTGCGTTGCCTCATCAGTTTACATTTTGTTCTGTTTTAGATAGAGCTTAGATATTTCTAATATTTCTAATGTTTAATGATCAAGAAAAAGTATAGTGCAATAAAATGTATTTCTTTTTCTTTCTCCCCCCACCACTGCCACACTTTTTAAATGTTTATGGCCATATGAAGTGATCATCCTTTACACTGAAATGCTGCTCGCCTGGTAATGATGTTAATGTGGTGAAACGTTTAGCATGCATTGGTTCAGTGGTTTGTATAATAAAATAAACTTTATTTAAACTGTCTCTGTCAGAGTAAAGTCAAGAGGTGCTTTACGTTGGAAAAATTGTCATGAGATATAATTGGGTATATATAAGTGTACAGAAAGGTGAAACTTAAATATAACAGTGAAACACTCAGACAAACAAATAAAACAATGAAATGTGAGCTAATATCAACTGAATGTGCTGATGATTCAATGTCGGGTTCAACTTTTTTTAAAACAATTTTATTTCTTTGCATTCAGGAGTTTGACTTCATTCATTTGGCAATTTGTTTTCTCACAGTGAGAACATTCAAACTACAGGAACAAGGGCTGGATGATGATTACGATCTACAGTTATTGCATTATTATCATTCAGACACTCTGCAGGCTGAGTTTTATTTTTTGCATTTGTATCATTGAAACTCCCCCAAAGGACATGAAGCCAAAGCTAACAGTCCTCCTGTGCAGTCTTAAACTTAATAATATCAGTGCTTTAATAAGATTACTCTTCGAGCCATTGTCCCCTTTTGGCAAATAATAATGTCCAGTTAATTAGCATGTATCTTCACAGCAACAGCAGCCTCTACATGAAGTGCTCTCAGAGAGCTTCAGTTCAGGAGAGTGATCAGGAGGCAGTAGAGTAGCTTTTCAATGTATTCATTATACTGATGATGATGTTTAATGATACATTCCAAGTCTGATAAATATTACAATTTGATTTGTGTGTGAACCAAATAAAATGCAGAGAGCACACTCACTCCCTTCTTATCTCCGCTCACAGCCACGGAACAGTCTTGTGTAAATTAAATATCATCTCCCAGGGCCTTCGGGCAGCTGCTCAGGATGTGCTCGAGTGACCTCTCCCAGAGCGGAGATGGTGTTTCAGCCTTTCACCAGAGGTTTGCCGGCCTGGGAAAGTTGTCATACACAGCTTGGATGAGGAATCTCATCTCTGGGGCTCTGCTCTCTTGATGTCTTGCAGTAAAGCTTTCGCTCCATAACATTCTCCCATCTTGTCCATGCCCCCTGCTGTCCTCATCCTCACTCTGTTCTCACTCCCTCCCGGACAAGCAGCCGCCTCTCCTTGCCCTGGGCCTTGTTGTAGAGAAGCATTGGGGAAGCTTCCCAAGCATGCTCTTCTCATTGCCACTGCCCCCACCGCTGCCTTGTGCCACAGCCTTGCTTCTGCCATCTCCAGCTCCAGAACGACACTCCATTTCCTGTCAGTGTGGATTTCAGTACCGGCTGGTGAAACATTTGGATCTTTGAAGTCACTATACTGAAGTGCCTCTTTAGTCTGGCAGACCTTGAACTCTTCCGTGACGCTGTTGAAGGGAAGCTGCAGGATGTTATTCCTCCTAAACTGCACTGCTTAGGCTGCGTAGTAAACCAGGTATCCGCTGATCTTCCTCTCCTTTGCCTCTACTGATGTAATAGATGTATCATAAATCAACAAGGGCCAGAGATTGTGGGGAAGGATGCCATTAAGGTAAATCCAGGACTTGAACTTCCCTGGCAGTCCTGACCTGTCTGCTCTATTGAGCCAGTCCTCTAGCTCCCTGATGAATGTCTGGATGGCTGCCACATCTCTGAGGCTTTGGTCAAAGAGTTTTCCCAAACTCTTGACTGGCTTCTCAATGATGGATGGTATTGTGGTGCCATCCAGGACAAAGTGGAACTCATCAGAGACTCTGCCCGTCTTCAGAACAAGTGACCTGGATTTGGCAGGCTTGAAGCACGTACTTACCCACTTGATAAGTCCTTGAAGTATCCACCTGCTGCCTGGTACAGAGGATGTGGTGACTGTGAGGTCATCCGTGTAGGCTCTGATAGGGGGCAGCTGCAAGCAAGACCTGGTTAAAGAGCCTCTGTGCTCCCCTCTGCAGCTTTTACTACCATATTCATGGTGAGGGCAAAGAGAGAGACTGGTATTGTATTAGAGTCGCTAACAAAATACATAATTCTTCACAAAAAATGTTGTGCTGTTTAAAATTCTCACCTCACAATTCCAATGTAATGTTTATCTAAAAATGTTATAAGCAGCTTTAAACAAAAAGTCGTCAGATAATAATATCATGTGCAAACAGATTATATTTATTACTATGCACATTAGTGTTGAGGAATTTTTGACCTTCCTCACACATAACATCTGTACACCACTGTGAGAATAGAGCCGATCTCATTCCAAACTTCCTTCTCTCCAAGGTCAGATAAAGGGTTCAACTGGCATTAGAATTCATCTGCCAGTGATTTTTTTTTCCCATGATGCTTTGCCATTCTACAGCAACATGCTGTGCAGGCATTTCCTGACTATACAGGAATGTGTTACAGTGTGGCCTCCATTTTAATCCAAGTGAGCAGAAGCAGCTCAGGTATATGAGGGATCGATACAGGGAATCAGTGGGTGTTGATCACAGAGCTGAGCAAAGACACTGATTGAATAAAGACAGAGTACACAGAAACAATGGTGCAGAGACACAGAGTACATGTACTCTAGGAGGTCAAAGTCAAAGGTCAAATAAGTCAAATGTTGAGATACTTATACTTTATCTTCTCCTTGCACTCCACCATGTTCCACAATACATTCATCTGAGAGTAGTTACTCTACAGATTAAGGTTTTAAAACATGATACGCTTTTGTAATACAATGCTTTATACTGTTAAAATGTCACACAGAATAAACACATCTTTTGTTGTTAATTTTATGTTTTATTCTTTCCAAGTCATTTAAACCAAGTTGAGCATTGGCTCTTTCTTTTTTCTAAGGAATGGAATCAGTGCTAACCATGATGAGTCACTTTTGCGGACAATTGTCTGGAGTTTATGTTATTAAATCGTTTTTATAAATGAATTTCCTTTTCACTTAAAATAAACCCAACATCGTCGTTCTGACCCCAAACAAATCATTAACTTTGATAATATTCATCCAGTAATTTTTTATCAAATAGCTAAGTTTACAGAAACATTTGTTTTGAGAATGTTTGTGTCGGAGGTTAATATTTTCTTACCAGAATAATGATCTCACAACTCTTAAATGATATCTGGTATCCCTATGGAGGGCTGCGACCCCTAGCTTGGAACCACTGCACTTTACTAGTTTATTGTTTATATAGTAAATAAATGCAACTGCACCTCAAGCAGCTACAAAATGCAGCTGAAGCATCAATGACCTAGCACTCATATTCACTCATAAAGGACTTTTACTTTTAAAAGAACATGTATTCACATTAATGTATTGTTCCTTTTACTTGAGTAAAGGATCTGTATACTACCTCAACAACTGTCAGGGCAAGAAAATTATTCACTGGACCTTCACATAATCAGTATCAAGACAGAGGCTGACATTTATTGCCATGGATAAAGTCCAACAAAGAGGAGGCTATGTACCTGCTGTAAAAGTACATAGTTTACAAATCATCTGTTACCTTAGAAAACCTCAGGAGATCAGATAGACTGAATTGTGGCCTTGAGAGTTAAAGGGTATTTTGAGCCTGTTGCTTTTAAATTACTGTCATAAAATTATAACAATATATAAAATTAAAATAATTCTGAGTTATTTGTATTATGATACTTGTAAGCATTTCCTCAATATGCTATAGTTTTTTAACACTAACTGCACCTCATGAGAGCAGGTGCTGTACTTTTTTACAATTTTAATGTTGTTCTTCTTCACTACATTTACTTGACAGCTGCAGTTATTGGTTATTTTTTCTGATTAGATTTATATCGTTAAAGCAGGAAAAAAACTAAACTATCTAAATAAAATGATTTGCTATACGTAACTGTTAATAACAGAATTAAAACAAGCTCCACTTTGGGCCACTGCAATGGTAATATGCTGTTCACAAATTGATGCAACTGTAATACTAATATTTTGCACTGTTACTTATGTAAGCTTATAAAATGCATTATGACCTTTTCTTAAATGTGCACTGCACCACTGTTCAGCAGTTTATAAAGCAGTTAAACTGGCTCCTTCTGCACTAGCTACAAGATCAAAATGCTATTTATGGGTTTATGAGTTGCTTGTAATCGTCAAATAATAAAACAAGATATTCAAAGATACAATGTGTGGTTGACAATATAAAGCATGATTTATGGGGCCCTTATTTTGTTTTTATTATATGTGTGCTATGATGCACATTCTGCCATCATAGTTCTACACAGTTTCACTGATCTACATTTGTTTGCATTAATTCTCAAAGAAGGGGAGCAATGTGCCGACACAATTCACAGGAGAAATAAATGGCTATCGAACACTGACTCAAGAGTTCAAATTGTAATGCATTAGTTTCATTTTATGAGGAAGTGCAGTCAGCACATTCCTCAGCCTCGACTCAGTGAGTCTGGTGAGAAACACTTTGGTTTGTAAACAAGAAAACTCCAGCGGGCACAATTACATTTTACTAATACTGTAGTGCTTTGTTATTTTGACTTGATTTAAATGGAACTACATGTGTATTAATTTTTGTCACTCTGATTTTCTACTTTTGTTTAAAAGAAGGAACTAAGCATCAAAACAACTGCTGAGAGATCCAAACTCACCGACTCCACAGGTCAAACACTGTGAGTGAAACTAATATGGGTGAGTCCTGAAGTGTATGTTAATGTTTCTCTGCCTGTGAGAAAAGAGTTCATTAGCATCACCAGTAGATGTGTGTTGTTAAAACACTAAATAGCATTAACATGCATTAACATAAAAAGGACTGCCAGCAGGATATGGAGATGCACCGGCCTCTTTGAGTGAGAAATGTGAAAGCAGCCAATGAAGGGTGCTACTCTAGGATTTTGCACGAGGACAATTTAAAAGTTCCGCATTGAATTAAATATCTCCCACAGATTTCACATGTTTAGGCTACTTCTGTAAAACTTTTGCTACATTTCTTATGACATAACAATAAATCACATTTGACCAATAAATCACCATTCACACTGGGACATGAAGCCCTCCATGCATTGTGGGACACTGAAATATCTTTGTGTTCTTTTACATGAATGGAATGAAAAGCACAGTGCTGACAGGTTCATTTGTATTTACCTCTCAGCTGTTTTGAAAAGCACTTCCATGTGTTTTTGTGTGTTGAACGTGCCACATAAATAAACGTTGCACTATTATTACGTTGCGACTATTTATTGTTTCTTTAGATACAACAGTTTGCAGCGATTCGTCTCAAAGCGTCACGATGGCGCTGCATGGTCAACCACATTCGTTTTTCTAACTTTCACAGTTTCCTGCTGCAGCCGGACCCCCTCTCGTGCCTACGTCACCGCCGTGGTGACGTCATATCAGCACCAGCGTGAGTAGACAGTGCCCCCGGGGGGAGCGCGCGACCCAGCTCAGCCCCCGCGTGCTCGCACCGCATCCCGCTCGCGCGCCCCGGCCGGGACGGTGCTGCAGAGTCTGTTTCTCATTCACAGGGACAGAGGAGGACAGAGGGGGACAGAGAGGACAGAGGAGGACACGTCTGCGGCGAAGGTAACGAGTCACTCAAACTTCACTGAAACTGAAGCGGAACAAGATCTAACTCAACTCGTATCTGTCGTGAGGCTGCAGTTCAAACATGCTGGGTGCTTGTGGATCAGTGCTTGAACTCCCTCAGGCTCAACGCTTGGATCTGAGGTGGACACACAATGCCTATGGCCATGGCTGGAAGCAACTCTTTTGGGGCCCTGGGTTCAGATTTGTGGTTGGGGCCCCTGCTGACCCACAGCTGATATGCCACTATTTCAAAAGGCAGAAGGATTCTATGGTTTCAACAATTTGTTGTTTCGTTTACTAGTTGATTGACTGATAACGTGTTGGTAACAATGACTGAAGCATAGTTGTAAGATATAGTTTCAGTTTCTTTACAAGAAAACTATTTTTACTATGTGATATTATAGTTTTGTTTAAGTAAAGGAACCAAGTACCAACACAACTGCTGATTCAAACACTCGACAGGTCCGATAGTGTAAAGCTGCTTTCAGACATGCAGCATTCACCATAAACTTTTTATTGGAATTTAATTATATGTTCTCTATTGTCATTTATGAGATTTTACACTTTTGGACTACTTTCAGATGAAAATATCACAGAAGTATGACTTCATTTACAACACTGCTAATGTGTACATTGCAGTATTTCCATGTACTTTCTCTAATCAATCCTTAAACAAATTATGAAAAGATTGTATCCCAATTTTGTAGTTAGGCCCATTAAGGCTTTTGGATACCTCATAAGAGGAGTTACAATAGCTTTCGGCAAATACATTAATGAACACCCAGCTTTAATCAAATCAAATCAAATCAAAATTTGTTTTGTATAGCCCAAATTCACAAAACACATTTTGCCTCAGAGGGCTTTACAATCTGTACAGGGAGTGACACCCTCTGTCCTAAGACCCTCGGTTCAAGTGAGGAAAAATTTGGCCACAAAAAAAAAACCCTTTTAACAGGGAAAAGAAGGTGGAAGAGACCTCAGGGAGAGCACAGAGGAGGGATCCCTGTCCCAGGAAGGACAGACGTGCAATGGATGTCACGTGTACAGAGCAAAGCAACAGAAACATATTGTACAATTACAATGAAAGACAATGATTACAGTAGCAGTGGTTATATATATAGTGGTGGGGTTATAACAATGCTACAATAATATACAAGTTAATATTAATGTCATAGAATTAGGACTAATAATAATAATAACAGTAGTGGTGGATGTCAGGCAGGGCCATGGCAGTAGTGGCAACCACGATCCATGACCTGGAAGCAGCCATGAACCATGAGAACCTGCTGGACGAGAGAGCACAGAAACTCCYGGGAAGAAGTTTAGTTAGTAACAAGCATTAATGAGACATGTGTTTACAGATGGTGATGATAATAAAGAGAGAGAGGGAGGGACAGACGAGACGGTGCTGTTATGGTTGTCATGCATTTGCAGAGCCGGAAGCTGAAGGGAGAAGTCAGGATTATAAGCATTGGTGTGTGTGTGTGTGTGTGTGTGTGTGTGTGTTTCTTGGCCAGTTTAAACTTCTTTTAGGCCCTCGGTGCAAACCCCTCCACCATATATAGCATTGTGATTATTTCCCCCCCACACCTAAAAACCGAATTAGTATTGTACTTTTTTCCATTTTATTGTGATGTCCCAGTTACTTAGCTGTCTCTGACGATGAGGGCATTGGTTAGTGTTGTTTTATTTGAAAGTTGTGAAGTACTCAGACAGCCTTGCTGGCAGTATGATGTTTGTTCTGATATTGTGTTGTTGTTGTTTAGTGCGTAGCATGAGTCAGCCAAAGCTACCTGAGGCAGCAGCAGATCTCATGTTATTGTGATGTTGCAGCCGGGCTAATGTTGGCTTGTTTTAACTGTCTCTGGTGTTAAGTCCTGTTATCACATTTGCATAGTTGCTGAAAATGTTTTTGCGAAATGCCGCAGGCAGTCACCGTGTATTGTTTCTGTCCTTCTCTGTTGCGGTGGTTACTGCATCACATGCATCGCAGCCTGCTCTCTGGTGCAGCGAGGAAGCAAAATAATTGACAGGAAACATCCACACTATGAATTAAATTAATGAAATGTATTTATACAGCACTTTTATAGTTTTATATAAATACTTAATGACCACTCAATATGGACTTGAGATAATCTATTTTGTTGATAAAGTAGAAAGTTTCTGATTTCTGACCTTTTTGACACGTGTACTCAACAGGATCCAGGGTCTGTCAACAGAAGAGAGAGGATCTGCGCAGAAACCCGCCTCACCGGTTCAGAAGGAGACAGATTGGCAGCTGCTGAGGAGCCTGGAGGGTCTTTCTCTGGGACAGTGCTGCTGCATTCTTCTTTCGGGAAGTGGTTTGGGAGAGGAGCTGTGGCTGACCGGCAGCCATGCACCGCTTAAGGACTACGGTGGCAAGGCTTCGGCCTTTCACGGCTGCTCAGACGGCACAGAGCATATCACAGTCCAGACTGTTGGTGGTCGAAAGGAGTTTAAGGACGTTTCAGCTTGCAAGGTGTTTGAACACATCTGTGACTGCTGAGCCCTTTCTTAATGGCACAAGCTCAAACTATGTGGAGGAGATGTACTATGCGTGGCTGGAGAATCCCGGAAATGTGCACAAGGTATTGTACATCAATGTGTATCGGCATATTTGCATTATTTATGCTTTTAATCTTGAATTTGTTTTCATTGGCATGATTGTACACATATGCAAAACAGGTCCAGTGCTGTCCCAATGATGTCCAGTCCCAAACCCCCTGCACCACATGTGTTTCCTTTTACCCTTTAGCCACCACCCACTTTCTTCCTGAGGGGTCTGAAAAGATAAAAATGAGTTATCAGTCTGAACAGATACCTGTCCAAAATTTAGTAGGGTAGAGGTTACACAAATAGACATTCCGTACATTCGTTGTTTGCACATACATGTTTTAAAAGCCGCGAGTACAACAAGAATGACTAACACTGTGAATCTTCTAAGAAATGAAGATGCACTAGATATTTCAAATGTAAATACTGTATATAATGAACCAAACTGCACATGGAAATGTGATTTTTGTGTTGTAGTGCCACATGAAAATGAATACATGTAAAATACCACAAAACCTCATTAGCATTTAAGTCGCAAAAGCAACAGCTGTTTGTTAAAAATCATTTTAGGATACAAACAGGACTGAGATCTGAAGTGAAGCTAATGGCTCGATCGAGGAAAGGCATCTGCACCTGTAATGGATACCCCTGCTGATAGAGCTACCAATTCAATCAAAGGAACATTTGGTTATTGTACTTTACAAGATAAAAATAACTTTTATATGGCACTCTTTAAAGACATATTTATAAAGCTCTTCAGTGTAGAAGGATAAATAAAGATGACATAATTGAAATGAAATAACAGTAACACACTGCAAATGGTTAAGTGGGGTCTTGGTAGGTGTAGCTTCACTCATCTCCAAAATATGCAGTAAAACCTGCAGCTGTTTTTCTAAGGTGGGTAAGCCCCCCCCGGCTCACAGGGCTCACATTTAGGTATACACTGTGTCATATGGAAACTAAAAGTGGATTCTGAGAATTTCTGTCTCACATTCTAATCTACTTGTTGTAAATGGAACACGTCAGGTTTTTCTCTCATAGTTAACCACAGACTGAAGATGTCTTGAATTTTTGACTTCCAGCAATAACTTTGTTCAAGTCACAAATGACCTTATTTCTTAAGCTCTTTTGAATTCAACCTCAGTAAGACTCGTGTATGCAAACGTGGGAAATTTCTAGAGAGTCTAAGCCAGGTGTGTCAAGCGTATCTAGAACTTCAAACCTTGATCTTGGTAGGTCAAGTACAACCTGTTGAGATTTACAGTCAGTAAGCTGATAATCTTCAGTAACTGGATTAACCTGATACTCTCAAACACACTGCAGAGATGTCATAAAATGATTAGTGTGTTTAAATGACGGAAGTTTGTTGTTCTTCTATGCTAGACTGCAAACACATGAACGTGATACCACTGCTGGTTTATCTTTTTTACACAATTTTAGCGAGACTGTTTTTGTAGCTGTTAGTTATCAGGGGCCTCATTTCTAAAACAGTTTGCAGTGATCACACTAAAAGTGTACGTGCGCACAAAAGCCGAAAATCACACTCCACCTGGAAATGTGTGTACGTGAATCTGCCTCGAAGTCTGCCTTGTACACACCCACACTCAACTATAAATCAATCATCAAGCGATGAAAAGAAGCAGCCAAACCTTCTGACACTGACATCGAGGTGACAGATTGATTTTGGCCACAGCAGTGATGTCATTAATAGGGAAAATGCAGCGATACACTTCCGCTGCTGCTGCTCAGTGAGTACTATAGAAAGAACAGTGCCTGGAAAAAAAATCGAATTCAAAAATAATCACTTCACTCTGTCAGAATGTGAGAGACCTTGTTGTATCACCACAAACTGAAGGATTATTCAATTCTGATATAACGGTGATGTTAAAATTGAACAGAACCATATTTTTAAAAGGATTAAAAGAGGCTTTACATAAAAGGCTAACTGTTATACAGTGTTAATTATACCACACATATACCTGTCGGCTAAAGACTTGTGTTTGCACTGGGATGGTCCGGTTCTGTTAGGTCGATCTGTATTATACTAAAGATCTAAGATCACAGATCCATAGAATCTATAGAATCTATATCAGCTGATTAGTCAGTTATGGTAACTATGGGGCAAAAAATCTTTGGGAACGATGAACGTGCACTCCTCTTGTGCCAATGCATCCATCACACAGCATTACCCACAAGTGTCACCGCAGTATTTAGATATTAAAAAATGCTGAGTGACTTCTTTGTTCTTCTCTTTCTCTTTCTCCCTGTAGTCCTGGGATATATTTTTCCGCAACGCTAATGCGGGGGCTCCGCCTGGTGCGGCCTACCAGAGCCCTCCTTCCATCAGTGGGACTTCTCAGGGACTGGCCAGTGTCCAGACATTGGTGGGAGCTCAGCCAAATGTGGAGAAGCTGGTGAAGGATCATCTAGCAGTACAATCCCTCATACGAGCATACCAGGTAAACTACACGTGCTATTTATGGTTGATTTCAGACCTGCGGTGAACTCCAAATAATCTAACAGTCGCTGGAGGGGCTGTATTTGAGAATGCATTTGTCAGAGTCTCTGGATATTCTCCGGAGTTTCTCCTGCCAGTCCCATGGTAAAACCTCAGGAGAATGTCCGAGGGAGTCCATGTGAGAAAAAAATTGTTTACCCAGTTTACAGCTGTGCCTGATGTCGAGAGAGAGAGAGTAGATATTGTGGCCACAAACAAATCCACGTATGTGCATTGAGAAGTGCAGATCTGATCTCAGGACGAATTGATTTTAGACTTAAAATTAGAGCTGACCACTTGTGATTGAGCCACTGAGGATGGATGTCAATAACAGGTCTGATCGGGAACAAAGCGGCTCAGGACACATATGCGTTCACACAGCCACATTTGACTCAGACCACCTTCTAATGCGGTCTGTGGGATCAGATCTTAAATATGTCCTCAATGTAAATTAGGTGCATTCACACCTGAACTTAGACTTTCCAATTGGTATCAGATCACCACAGACACATTTTAGTCCCAGGTCTAAACAGGGTCAGTAACCTGCACTGATGGTAGATTCTAGAAACTTAGCTTTGAACCTGGATCAAACATAACAGATTCTCACTGTGATATGTCAGTTTTTAACATGTTTCTCATAATTAAAGCCAATGTTGTCGAAGTAACCTTCTGAGTGGAAATAACGTCACGATAGAAGAAATCAGATATTAAAGCCAATGTCAACGAAACACAAAAGTTAAAAAGTGTTTAGTCCTCGTAATGATTGTTCACATTCAGATTCATGAATTCTACAGTACTGTTTCTATTATTCCTGATGTCTTAAGATGTCATTGAAATATTGCAGATGGCCAGGATGAAGGAGATTATATTTCTCTAAGTACCGCACCTATAACTGTATTATAAATGTGGTGTCATTTCTATAATAATTGCCTATGATATTAATATGAGTAGAATTGTCGTGTATATTTGTATAATATAATATGTAAGTATGAAATATAATATATAGGTACTAATAGCTTGAAAATGGACTCAAGTAAAGCTTTCATCAGTTTGTTGAATGAACTGATGACCTGTTGAATGGACTTTGGCCTCAGGCAGGAGATCATATATCTGTCCAACAGTGCTTCTGCTTTTGGCAGCTTGTTTGCTACCTTTGCCCCACATCTGTGTCTACGATTGTGCTTACATGTGTCGACTTATGTAAGGAAACCTTACAGGAAGTAGTCGGTAGTAAAGACAAAGACAGATAACTAGAATCAAGCTGGTATTTTTTTGACAAAGTCTGACCATTTAAACATTTGAACATGCAATGAGGTATGTGCTCTTATGTTTGCTCAGGTACGAGGGCATCACATAGCCAAGTTGGACCCCCTGGACATCAGCTGTGTAGACTTTGACGATGCCCCGTGTGCTGTTGGTTTCCAGAACGTTGGTGAGCAATCTAAACCTGTGTACATGTTCACAAATCTTTTCCGCTCTGCCCCATCCTTTCCTCTCCCTGTGATTCCCTCTCTTCAAATCCTTTTACTAGTTCTCTCCAGTTCTTAGGCTACATCCATTGTCTCATCCCCCACCTTTAATCGGGTGTTTTCTTTCTCCTGTATTGCTGCGACACACCCACTAATTCACACCTACTTATCTGGAGTAATCTCCCCTCCTCCCTCGGCATCCCACCTTTTATACTGAACCTTAAGTTTACCCCGCCTTGCACATACTGTAAGTTTGAGACTCACCTTATAGCCTGGACCCTTTATATTCACATATATATATATATAACGATTATAGCTGCAGACCTGGAATCTACACCTATCCGTCAGATACATGGGTGTCGCCTGGCTTGGGCACCCGGGGCTGTAGCCCTAAAAGTTTTCTCTATAGCCCGTATTATTGTCCATCGCCATTTTAACCAGTGCGTCACTTTGCAAATGAACATCCACCAGCAGTGAATGCACCCGGTCACACTGGCTGCGTGTGGGACTTGGATCGCGATGCTTTTCAATTTCAGCGCCCATGTAATCAAATAAGAGCGCCCACACTGCCTGCACGGGCATTGTAACTCAGTCGCATGTTGTTGTTGCACAAGGATTCTCTCTGAAATGTATCAGAGTAGAAGTGTGTTGAAATTGTGCGGTGCAAATTGTCCAGCCTGCAGAAGTGGAGTAATCATGTATCACATGCAGTGCCTGTATGAATTTGATGTTTTTCTCTTTAGTAGGGAACAATTCTTTATTACAAACAGACGCAATTTATCTTTGTAATTTCATGTGGTCTTTTATTCATGTAATGTTGACCAGTTCATGATGTCACTGTCAGAGTTGTGCCCTAATAAGTCACATTAGGTGTCACACCTGTGTTATCAGCACACTCTGTATAGTAAGTTGTGGTCTGAGGAAACCAGATAAGACAACGTGCTGTTCTTCGTGGTTGCAAGTTTCAGAGCTGATGGGGCTGTATACAGTTGTAGAGACTCTGAGCTTGTTAGCATGCAGATGTTAGCATTTGGCTGGTAAAGTGTCATAGAGCAACAAGCAGGGCTACAGGTATTGTTCAGTCAGCCCTAACAAGGCAGCACATACAGTCTTGTAGGGCAAGTTATGGTCTCTGAAGAGATAAGACAACATGCTCCATAGTCCACAAAACCAATTCTTTATAGCTAACAAGTTGAAGAATTGGGAAATAATCAGGTTATTCTTATTTTTGAAATGAAGAATATTATTATGCTCTTCTTAATTACTTACTTTAGATTCAGTGGTTGCTCAGCTGTCTTGTTTGGCACATGAAGTACATGGTTTTCTCACTTTCATTACCTTGTTAACTAAACACAGACTTGTCAGCTTTATCACAACAGTGCAAAGAGTTGAAACAATTTGGAAAGCGTGGGAGCTGGCTGTTGTGCGATGCACGCCTGCAGCATGCTATTATTGTGCAGAATGAAAAGGCTGGGCCTCTGAGTTCAAAAACAGGGGATTGTTATGAGTTGTAATAGGATGTTTCCACAGTTTATAGAGGTATTGTTCAGTTTCAACGGGTTCTGGTGGCGATGAGGTTCACAGAGATCAGCCTGAACGACAATATGAGAAGCTTTGTGCGATACTTAACCTACAGTATGTGTGTTTGTGTCTCTCCATGCCTCCAGAGTTCTCTCATTATAAAGAACGTCTTTGTATTCTGACGGCTCAAGGTAGGACAAGTCCCTCAAATCTTGAATGTAGATTCCCTGGGATTTCTCATTAGCCTATAGTGTCCTCCTTGTTGGTTGGTTCTGGTTTCTTCTTGGGGAAAACGTTATCTTTTCTTGTTTTTTGACTTTTTGACCACATATCTTCTGAAACAAGAGCTGCAGGACAACTGGTCTAAAATCCATTTGCAAACTGCTGCTAAGTTTTTAACACTGCAGACTTGGTGCACTGAACCTGTGATGTATTGGCATTTAAAGGTGGCTGGAGCAGGTCAAATGCCTTTATTAATCTTGTGCATACATTTTAAATGGCAAACCTGATGACTTGTTGAGTTTGTGTGAAAATTGAAACAGGGCACTGTGACGCACAAGAGTCTTCATTCAAACAGCAGAATGAAAACGTCTCTCAAAAAGCATTACAGACAGCTCTTTCTGTCCACATGTCACACATACTGCATTGGGATGTTCTATAAATGGATTATTACTAGGTATTAACCATTAATAAATGCATTAATCACAGCTTTATCAAAAACCATTATCAATGGTGTGTATGTGACTTTCAGGGGGTGTTAATGCTTTTGTGTGTGGGTGTGTGAGTGTGAGTGTGCATGCTGGCCCCTGTTAACCTTTGCTCAGCAGGACTTACACAGATGTGTCTTTGTCTGCTTCATCAAAATGTTTCTGTGATTAGATTGCAGGCAGACACTGCTTGATTACGATCAATGGATCGTCCAGCCTCTTCTCTTTGAAACCTCATGGAACACATGTTTTTATGTGTAGGGCGGCTCCCAGAGGGGGGAGGAAAGTCTAAAGATCCCTCTTGTAACAGCACTGTGTACTAATATGCCGACAGAGATGTGCAAACACAGACTTAGATACAACCATGTTCTCTCCCCTCCTCTGCTTCATCACATTGTCTTATCTCTTTTTGGTTTCGAACACAACATCACATTCTGTGAATCCGAAGGAGCCACCCTCTACTGTATCTACCCTCCTCAGAATATAGACGTGCAAACACTGTTTGCTTTCAGCCAGACTGTCCCTTTAATACACCTTCTGTTTCATTTTGAATGGAAATCTATCACATTTACAGATTGCTAGGGCAAACAGAGACCAGTCACAACTGTGCTAGGGAGAAACTAAAACACAAAGGATTTGATTTGGTTACATGACATGTTCTGAGTTCTTAGTCTCGGATATTACATTAAAGTACAAATGTATTATTTCCTTCTTTAAAGATAAAACATTGGATATGAACATACTGTTTTGATAATCAATTAATCATTTAAGTAAACATTTTATTAAACTTTCAATGATTCATTGGTCCCAGCTTCTTAAGTGAGAGAATTTATTTTCCTTCATAACATGCAAGTACCCTTAAATTATAATTGTGGGCTTCTGGACATTTTATGAGTCAAATTCAGGAATTTAGAGAATCTAAAAGACAGTTATCCAAATAAATCAAGTAAATGGCAATTTAAGACAATGATGTATGTTGTATATATTGAAGGTTGCAGCCCAAACCTCACACAACATCCTTAGAAGTTGGTAAACCTCCGGTTTATGGTCACATATGTTATCAGTGTCTAATCTGTAAAAGGAAGAAGGAAAACAAAGCAATAAAACACTTGTTTTAAAGGTTTACAATTTCTTTATAATTGCCTCTTAGTTCCCAGTTTGTTTGAAGGGAGATTTAATGGAGGGTATAGGACATGCATTGATCTCATCTGGCAGGTTAGCCAGGTGATACAGAGCACTTTGACCCCTGAGCCTGATTTTTGTCATCGGGATTCATGAGTTCCCAGGGAAATCAATGAAAATGTCAAAGAATTCTTTATCACAATGTTAAAGAAAGTGAAACCAAATTCATGAATCTTGTCCCAGAAATCTTGAATTCAGTGTTGTTTCTCAAACCTTTCTTTGTCCTCTCTCTCTCTTAGCAGTGGTAACATGTCTGTCCCGCGGTCTCATCTTTTTCTGCACTCTTCCCCCCCCCGCTTCCCACCCCCACATTGGCCTGGTTTGAATGCCTGTGTTCGTTTGGCCGGGCCTCTCCCCCACTTGTTCACAACAGGTTTATATGGGCTGGCAGAGTCCGACCTGGACAAGGTGTTCCGCCTTCCCACTACCTGCTTCATCGGCGGCAACGAGACCACTCTGCCACTTAGAGAGATTATACACCGCCTTGAGGTAAAATACCTGAAATTATTTTATTCTAAAATGTGTAGCATCAGTTAGGCAGTAATGCAGCCCCATCAATATAACAGTGACAATGTTTGATGTCAATACCATGAAAAATAAAATCTAAGATAATGAAACTAATAGGAAAAAAATTATAAACTTGAGAGCTGACAAAGTAGGATCAATCTAACAAATTAAATTGTAAAATCTAATCAGATAAATTCTATATCATATAATAGATAAAACAATTTCAGTAATATCTAATAATTCTGTTAAGAGCTAGAAGGAATTCTAAGTTGATACTTACTTCATATATCAGGATGTAAGATTAGACTCCTCCACACACACTGACCTCCCTCTCTTTTCTAGATGGCCTACTGTCAACATATCGGAGTAGAGTTTATGTTCATTAATGACGTGGAGCAATGCAAGTGGATCAGACAGAAGTTTGAGACACCAGGAGTCATGCACTTTAGTCTGGAGGAGAAGAGGACTCTGTTGGCCAGAATGATCCGATCCACCAGGTCTGTCTGTTCCTTTACATTCCTCAACACTCCTCAGTAATTACCTGGAAAAGCACGCGGAGCAGCCGGAGGGCAAGGGGTGGTTTTTCCTGGCGGGTTGGGGGAAACATATTCTGAGACCACAGTGTGAAGCAGCAGCACCACCACCTGTTCACAGATTTGAGGAGTTTCTCCAGAGGAAGTGGTCATCGGAGAAGCGGTTCGGTCTGGAAGGTTGCGAATCACTCATCCCTGCCCTCAAGACCATCATTGACAAGTCCAGTCAGAACGGAGTGGAGAGTGTGATCATGGGGATGCCTCACAGGTAAACACAGAGCTCATACATCGTGTGTGATACCGTAAAAACAAAAAAAGGCTGAATGTTAATTTGTGATGCACGTGTCTCTCCCCCTTTTGTGTCTCCTCAGAGGTCGGCTGAATGTGCTCGCTAATGTCATCCGGAAAGAGCTGGATCAAATCTTCTGCCAATTTGACTCCAAACTAGAGGCTGCAGATGAGGTTTGAAAAGGACTTTCAGAGTGAAGAAACATTTATAAGAATAATATCCAAGCTCTTTGCAATTTGAAATTAAAATAAAATCACATTGAGAATATGTAAAAAGGAAATAAAAGTAAAGATTGTAAAAAGGTATAAAAATACGTGGCTGATATAACTGAGCAGGTGGATCCACAGTCTTGTTGGACGGTCGCTGAAATCGTTCTCCTCACTCCTTGTGTGGACTGTTATAGAAACAATTAAACTACCAGCACCAGAGGATCTCAGGGGTGATGTTGGTTGGGAGTTAAAAGATCTGAAATCTAAGGCAACAGACTTTGGAACTAGCTGAAGTTTTTCAAGAAATTATAGTTGTTTGAGCTGCTGTCAGACATGCTCTGAAGTCCAGATAAACTCTGGATGTTCTCCAGAGGGACTGAAAGTCAGAAAAAGTCACAGCAGGAGATCCTCCGCAGGATTCATTTGATGTGGTGTTGATGTGCTGTAAAGAAAAACACATGAATTGATAACATTAGATCCTGCCTCTGCCTGCTGCTGCACCACCCCTCTCTTGCACACTTCGGAGATTTCGGTTGTTGTGGATGGGCTTGATCAGAGAATATCCTGCTGCGCCGTTTCATGTGTGAAAGGAAACCTCAAGAGAAAATCCAGACCCAATTCTGGAGTTTATGTCTGAAAATGGCTCCAGTCAGTTTATGGTTATAGCTCAGTAAAGACTGGAAGCAGAGGGAAACAGTTACCTGAACAGTACCTCTGAAGCTCACTCATTTAAAACATGATGATGGAATTCACTGTTCCTGGCTAAGAAATGTTATTTTATAATGTAATATAACGTAACTTCTTGTATGGCTTCATCACATCTTTCTTTCTTTTCTGCTCTTAGGGATCTGGTGATGTGAAATATCATTTAGGGATGTATCACAAACACATGAACCGGGTCAGCGAGAGGCTCATCTCAATGTCGCTCATGGCTAACCCGTCTCACCTGGAAGCAGTGGACCCTGTGGTGCAGGGGAAGACCAAGGCTGAACAGTTCTACTGCGGGGACACGGAGGGCAAGAGGGTAATCTGAATACACATCATACACGATTGCACATGTGGTTGTTTTCCAGACATGTTTTAAACCCGATTAATGATTTTGCAGGTGATGTCCATCCTGCTTCACGGCGATGCTGCATTTGCAGGACAGGGCATCGTGTACGAGACGTTCCACCTGTCTGACCTGCCCTCCTACACCACCCACGGCACCATCCACGTGGTGGTTAATAACCAGGTACACTCAGGCTCTGATCGTCTGTTAGTCAGCAGGCAGGCAGCTCTGTTTTGAGCAGAGGAGAGGATTTAACATTGCTGCTGGCTCCCAAAGTTTATACCACATTCTCCTCTCATCCCCACAGATTGGTTTCACTACAGACCCCAGGATGGCACGGTCCTCTCCTTACCCCACAGATGTGGCACGGGTCGTAAATGCTCCCATTTTTCACGTCAATGCAGATGATCCGGAGGCTGTGATGTACGTGTGCAATGTTGCAGCTGAGTGGAGGAACACCTTCCACAAAGATGTCGTTGTAGACCTGGTGAGTGATAGACAGAAATACTCTGTTTTTCATGTATTATCTAACATTGCGTCCCGTTTATACTACACTAAAGTTCTGTTTAAATGACTTACATGAATGCAAACATTATTTGGCATGTTGTCGTCCGTTAAAATCTCAGGGTACTCACAGGTTTTTTTAAAGGTGGGTCACAGACGAGAAATTCTTGTGTTTCGTTGTGGTGAAGTTTTGGACAAACAGCAAATACACACAATCATGTTAATACTGTAAATATGTAAAGCAAACAGTTGTCTACTTACATACAAAACAGAGACAGAACATCACGATGAGACAGAGTTGTTCTTGTGACAGCACTGAGGAGCAGTATTTGAGAACAAATGTCAGTTGCTGCAGACTTTGTGGACATAGTAAGAACTCTGGAGAATGAATGAGTCAGCCCTTGTGAGAACACAGCAGGATTATTTCTGGAGAACTCACAAGAAGTGGGCATGATGATGATGTTTCTAACAGGCTGATGACATAAACTGAAAAAGAAAGACACGTTAAATGATTTTGATGTTGTTGTAAACACATCTCGCTCTGACGATCTCTGGCCAATTTTTCATTTGTGAAAGGCAAAGTCTGTTATTAACTGATTCATCCATTCATTCATTAAAAACAATGTGTGGACCCAATTATCGAAAAACGGTTTGTTCAGGAAATTTGAGGTGCTGATGCTGTCGTGTTTTTACAGTGTATGTCCTTAGAAAAGCTTGCTGAACAGTTGTCTTTCCACTTAGGTGTGTTACAGACGTAACGGCCATAATGAGATGGATGAGCCCATGTTTACTCAGCCGCTGATGTACAAGCAGATCAAGAAGCAGAAAGGAGTCCTGCAGAAGTTTGCTGAAAAACTCATCACTGATGGAGTCGTCACGGCACAAGAATACGAGGTGAAAATACGAAACAGACACTTGTGAAATTGGTGTCCCCTTAGCTCGGATTCATTATCAAATCACTTCACCTTCTGTACATATGAATGAGGTCGTCACAGTCATAAAAATTGTTATATGTAGTTTAATTCATAATGAGATTTATAATTAAGCCTCTTGTGAGCACAGGTTTCATTGTCAGCGAGTAAGATTCTGTCACTGACCGCGACCTACCTGAATGTGCACCTGCAAGAAGACAAGACACGGTTATTTGTAAAGCACATTTCATTCCTTACATAAAATAAGAAGGGCATCATCATGACAAATTGACAATATGTAAAAGCAAATTAATACAACACAAGAAGAGCGAAACAGGAGGGTGTAAAAGTCTGACACAATGAAAACTGTGCAACAAAAAAGCTTTTAGGTTGCTCAGTTCTCAGTCCATAGATTACACTCTTGTGGAATTCATGTGGTTGCCACTGTGGATGCAGGCGGTCTGGAGTTTCCGGTTCTTTTTCCACCTCTCCTTTGCATTCATTCATGACAATCCTCTCTCACAAATAGTTCTTCAGATGTGGTGGAAATGGAAGTGTGTGTGAGAGGGATTGAACAGTTTAGTTCAGGTTTTTCAAGTTTCTTAAAACAACAACCAGGTGCACTTAGGACAGTGACGATTGTTTTGCTGAAACTTTTCTTGCTCTCATCACTCCTTCAGGTTCACGCTGGCCATTAAAAGATCCTGAGGTCATGTAAACAAGTGTCAAGTGTAATACAAAGTTAATCGAAATTTAATAATTAGCAGACTGGGTTACTCCAAACAGGTGGATAGATTCCAAACTACTTTTTCTGGTGTCACATTATTTTCTTCATGTTGGACAGTGTCACTTGTTGAGCTGCAATAGAGGTATCGTGGCTCAAAGGGGGGATTTTACACTAAAATGGCCAAGGACATTCTCAGACATATTTTGCCTTTTCAGTTTTCCTTCTAGTGAATTAAAGTAAAAGTTCTGCAAAGTTAAAAAGCCCAATGTCTGTGGTAAAGGGAGCGTCTCTCCCCGACAGAAAACACTCCTCCCGATGCTCCTGAAACGCCTCGTCAGTAGTCCGGCCTATACTTCTGGGGAATCTCAATGTTACATTATATAATGATGTCTCACATTTGCCTAATGCTCACCTAGTGGCTAGGGGTTAGAGCGGTCGTCCTCTCACCAGAGGGTCGGCAGTTCAATCCCAGTCTTCCCCATTTCAAATGCCGAAGTGTCGTTGGGCAAGATACTGAACCCCAAATTGTTCCTTCTCAAAGAGGAAAGTGTGTGAATGGAAAAAAACTTTGCTGTAAAGTTGTAAAGCTTTGAGTTGTCATCAAGACTAAAAAAGCTCTATATAAATACAGACCAAACAGTCTGACACGCCCCTAACAAAACTATGAAAAGCCAGAGTGGAGGCCGACATTTCCTTCACGCATTGAAAGCGGTCAAACACAACAGAGGGGGTCGGCTGGCCAATAAGAGCAGTCTGGGCAATGGAGAGTGATGTGTATCAGAGGACTTGAACCTTTTCAAGTAATAACACAAATTCAAATTGTGAACCTGGATATGAGTCTAATATGTCTCCTTTAAGTTCAGATAAACTTTGACTTAACACTTGTGTGTATTTGCTGCAGCTATCAAAAACTGTATCAGTATTGTTTTAAACTATAAATGTGATCCTGTCCTTTTAAGTTCTGCTGTATTCTATATAGTCTGCATGGTCTGCTGTGTTTTATTGTACTGTCCATTAGGAATTAAAACGGACCAAAAAGAATAATAAATGGAGTTTGCGGCAGAGATACGGCGCCACAGAGCTACTAGTAGGTTGCAAGCTGTTGCTCTTCTCAAACTCACATCCTTCTCTTTCAGGAGGAAGTGGCGGGGTACGACAAAATCTGCGAGGAGGCTTACGCTCGCTCCAAAGATAAAAAGATCCTTCACATCAAACACTGGCTAGACTCACCATGGCCTGGTATGAGCCTCCCTGTTTGGACAATGGAAAAAATCATTTGAGCAATTTAATAATTTTGTTGTTGATTGGATAAGAATTATGTGAAAACTAATTTATTTTCATTGCTATCATCATTTTTATTGTTAATTGTCGGTCAGATAAAACTACGTTTTGTGTTCTCCTTCAGATGTGTCTAACATTGTCATGTGTGTTAAGGTTTTTTCACTCTGGAGGGTCAACCAAAAAGTATGAGCTGCCCTTCGACTGGCGTCAGTGAAGAGGAACTCGGCCACATCGGGAACATCGCTGCCTCTGTCCCAGTGGAGGACTTCACCATACATGGAGGCACGTCCTGCTCTCTTTTCCTTTTCTAATGACTTCTCCCTGCTGTCCAGCTCTTTTAAAATCAACTCCTCTCTGCCTATGTTTTCATGTTTTAGGTCTGAGTCGTATTTTAAAGGGCCGTGCAAACATGGTAAGTCAGCGGGTGTGTGACTGGGCTCTCGGCGAGTACATGGCCTTCGGCTCTCTGCTCAAAGACGGGATCCATGTACGTCTCAGTGGGCAGGATGTGGAGAGGGGCACATTCAGGTACAAGCGATACATACGTACAATCAGATGTAATCAAGGCTACTCCATAGTATGATTGATAGTTGTACTATATTACATATAGATTATATTTTCTCTGATTTGCTTCACAGCCATCGACACCATGTTCTGCACGACCAGAACGTTGACAAGAAGATCTGCATCCCCATGAACCACATCTCTCCTGATCAAGCTCCTTACACTGTCTGCAACAGTTCTCTATCTGAATATGCAGTACTGGGTGAGTAGTATGAATACACAAACTCTCATCGATTACTCAGTTGCTGTAGTATATTTAAACCATCCATTAGGGCGTAACTGTCCTCAGGATGGGCAGCACGGCCACAGAGATCTTAAAAGTTGGCAACAGACATTGAGAAAATCAATGATGGTTTCCTTTGCGCTGGTGCCATGGCTCAAGGTATGGCCTTGGTCCAGACTGGAATATGTCAATATTTATTTTAAGGATTGCCATTAAATTTAGTTCAGACATTTAAGGTCCCTGGAGGATTAATGACCATGCTGATTTTTTTTCCTTTGGCATCACCATAAGATTTATATTAATGATTAGTTTACTCAAATTAATCAGGTAAAAGCATTTAATTGGGGAATGTGGAGAACAGGAACCCAGTTACAATATAACTCCTCAGATCAGTAACTTAATAGTTGACTCATGACTCATTTCCTGACTTCCTTGTATGAAGCCTCAGCACAAAGTGCCTGAAATAAATAAAATACTCAAATGTTCAGCAGTGGAGAACAAATTATTCAGACATGAATGACCTCTCTTTCCTCGTTCAGTCTCTCTCTCTGTTTGCAGTGTTTTATCGTGCATTTTTCAAACCTGACTATGCATATGCAAACACACACACACACACACACACACACACACACATGCACATAAATACAGGTGAAATTATTGTTCTCCAGGAAATTCTACCTGAGGAAATCCAGTATCTATAATCCTCTACCCCAATTCCAGTATGGAATCAGTTTACTGGAGAAAGCAGACTCTACTGAAGTGTGCAGAAACACAATCCTTTGAGGGGACAGTTGCACTTTTCCTGCACTGAAGTTCAGATGAGGGCTCTGCCAAAAAACACAATTTGTTGATGTCTCTCGGCTTGAAACCTTCATTACATAATTCAGTGTTATGTGAAGTGATATGTTTGTATAAATAAAAGCATTTTGTCTCTACAAAATGTTGTGATTACGTCACGTTGCTCATCACTGAACCTGTTCTGTTTTGCATCTGTTTTGTTCTCCCCTGCGTGCAGGTTTTGAATTGGGCTTTGCAATGGCCAGTCCCAACGCCCTGGTCCTGTGGGAGGCCCAGTTTGGAGATTTTCATAACACAGCTCAGTGCATCATTGACCAGTTTATCAGCTCAGGTCAGGCCAAGTGGGTCCGACACAACGGCATTGTGTTGCTGCTTCCTCACGGCATGGAGGGAATGGTAGGAACTGTGAAAAGTTGATCGGTCACATTCTTCGTTGCTCTTTCTCTCGGTCTGAATGAGCTCAGTTGATGCAAAAATGTAACAATTGTCATGTGGGTTTCTGTTGCTCCATCCTTCTCTTAGGGCCCAGAGCACTCGTCTGCCCGTCCTGAAAGGTTTCTACAGATGTGCAACGATGACCCTGATGTTTTCCCTGTGAGTCTGCAGGACACAATACTGACAGTTTACCACATAGTATAACCTCTGTATTTGGCTCAGTCAGATCAGATCCAGTTCTTTCCCCTTTGACAGGGACAGCCAGTGGTCGGAGGCATTATGTTTTGGGTTGTCTGTCACATTGTTGTGACACAATACCTCAAGATCACCTTAGGACATTTTTTCAAATATTGTACAAATGTTGCATTTGACTCGTGGATAAACTGATTAGATTTCTATGGTTAAAGGTCACAGTCGCTGTGACCTTTAACTGGCTGACGGAGGCATAAAAGCGCAGGGCGGTAATTCTTGTTGGTTATATAAAAGGATGGAGCAGTAGATCCTTAGAAGTTTTAGGATAAGGAGAAAAATGTCAGTGATTGGCCACATAAATCCAGTCAGAAGTTAGAAAAATCTTGAAAGTTTTATCAAATGAATCCAATGATTATGTTCTGTACTTCTACACCGTGAGCAGGAACAGCAGATAGATTACTCAACAAACCTTTAAAGATGCCGAGAATGAAGAAGACGTAGAACACTGATACTGTTGAATGTATAACAACATCATTTTCCCTCCTCACATTCTCAGTTTCAAAACATACAGCAGGATTAAAGGTACACTGCCAGATAAGTGAATGCTTGACTTACTTCTGAATTTGGACTGTTTGTCAGAAACTGTCAGAGGACATAGCGGTACGTCAGCTCTACGACTGTAACTGGATCGTTGTCAACTGCTCCACTCCTGCAAACCTCTTCCATGTTCTCCGCAGACAGATCCTGCAGCCCTTCAGGAAACCTGTAAGTGGTGCACTCGACACACTGTGACTCAGCACACGAGATAGTGTAGTTCAAGTCACTGAACCTTTTCTGCGCCACCTTTTTATTTCTTTACCTCTAGCTGATTGTGTTCACACCCAAGTCGTTGCTGCGCCACCCCGAGGCCAGGTCCAGCTTTGATGACATGCTGCTGGGTGAGTGCTGACATTTAAAAAAGTGCAAGCAGTTCAAGATAAAAAAAAGAAGAAAACAAACACTACCATTCCTCTGTGTGTGAGTTTGAATGTACGTTTCCCATCCTGCAGGCACCCACTTTAAGCGTATAATCCCAGATGACGGGCCTGCAGCTGCCATCCCAGAGAAGGTGAAGAGAGTCATCTTCTGCAGCGGAAAGATTTACTACGAACTGACCCGGGAACGCAAGAACAGAGGCATGGACGATGCTGTAGTTGTTGTCCGCATCGAACAGGTAATGTTATTCACTGGAACTCAATGACGACAACACCGTACTGCCGCCATGTTCTGTTGAAACTTCAGCCTGTAGGCTTGCTGGAAATATCTGGTGACATAAACCTCAGAAAGGGAATGTGTCCATCATTTTTTCGATGGTGATGTTGTCCGTCGCACACTTTGTTCCAGAACAAGATGTTTTCAATGTACAGGCCAATTTACCATAAAACCTTTCATAGATAAGCAGTGATGCAGGAGGGTAAATGATTAACTTAAAAAGTAAAGCCCTCACAGTCATTAGGCACAGATAATTCAAACTGACTGATAGACGAGTCTGTTTTGAAGAGACTTGTCTGCAGCTAAAATCTTTAAGGTAACAAAACTGTGGGAAAAGAAAAGGACAAGAAAGTAAGTAAGTGTCTCTCAAAGTCTTTTACAGCCACTGTTCTAGTTTCTAATTACCTTGTTGATTTACTTTCATGTCCACAATATTTTTTGGCACTATAATTATTGTGATATGATCTTTGTTTAGTGAGGTTTGTTTTTTATTGTGCGCTCCATCTTGGAGTGTTGCCAGTGAGTCCTCCTGTCGGTCAGTTGCTGCACTATGGAATGTCCCTGAACTGCATGAAAAAACAAATGAAGTGGAGTGATATGTTGACCCCCGAAATAAAACTTTCACTTCCTCAGTCAGAGGGGTCGTCGGTTTGACCCCAGTCTTCCCCATTCCACATGCTTGGTCAATATAGTGACCCCCAATTGCCCCTGAAAGAGAAAAAAGGTTGAAACAGAAATAAAGAAGTTCTGCCTACAGATGCACTGGATGAATAAATGGGTGAATACCAAAAAACTTTACTGTCAAGACTAGAAAAGCACTTTCACAACTTGTTTGAAATCTTAATACTTGATTTTTCTTCTCTTTTCAGCTCTCACCGTTCCCCTTCGATCTGGTGAAAGCAGAGACTGACCGCTATGCAAACGCTGATCTCGTTTGGTGTCAGGAGGAGCACAAGAARCAGGGTTACTATGACTACGTCAAGCCCCGTATCAGAACCACCGTCAACCATACTCGCCCCATCTGGTGAGCTCTTACTTACATAGTGAACAGCAAACCAAGTATTTCAGTCGACTGTGAATGTATTACTGTTAACGGCGTGTGTGTGTGTGTGTGTGTGTGTGTGTGTGTGTGTGTGTGTGTGTGTGTGTGTGTGCAGGTATGCTGGCCGTGATCCCGCAGCAGCTCCAGCTACGGGGAACAAACAAACTCACCTCATGGAGCTGCACCGTTTACTGGACACAGCGTTCGATGTGGAGGCGTTCGCAGGAAAAGTGTAGTGACTGGTCCAGTCCTCCCTCCCTTTTTTTCCTCACTCTTCACATATCAGACCTGACGCACAATGACTGACTGACTTTAAACACTGTTACTATGAAGACCTCATGTTCACAGTGATAGACACTAGTAGGAAAAAAAACTATGAGATAATCTGCATTGAATGTATTACTTTATACAACATGAATTTTGTAGACTAAGAGATTTAGCTTACGTGTTTGATTTTTTAAGGTTTTTACTCATTTCGAAATAATTGCAACCTGCTCCGGGACTGTGAGGAAATGCTGAAAATCATGAAAATCAAGATCTTTTTAAAGGAACAGAAAAATAAGCTTATTAATTTCTCGCTGACTCTTGGAAGAGAAGATGTTTTTATATCTGCTGCTCACCTCAGCTTAGCACAGAGACTGGAAGCGGGGGAACAGGAAGCCGGGCCCTGTCTTTTATAGTTATAGTTATACCTCAGGTGTTTAATCTGTTCAAAAACCGAAGTGTAAAAATGACAGTGTACAGTATTATAGGTTATAGAGTTTACACATTAATCTAAAGTGTGCTGTATTTCCCAATAATTCTAACTGGATTATCATGGCTATGTTAAAGAATGTGTCTTAACAGTGTGACGAGGACAGCTACTCAACCCTGCTCTAACCTATGACCTATATGGAACCTGTGGCTCTATATCAATCATAAAAATGTGACATCTTGGAAGTAAAACATTTTTGACAAATTGAGCAATGTCACCGGTGAGTTCTCAGGGAGGAGGCCCCACTGTTTGACTTAACTCACCTCTTTTCCTACTTTTTATATTTTCTGTTTGAATTCTTCCCATTTCCTATTTACAGTTCCCTTACCGTCCCTCAACATCTGTTTGTGCCAAATGTAACAGATAACTTGAATTTTAACTTTTTCTTTTGATAATAAAAGTAATCTTGGCGTATGTAAAGACACGAGAATCCTCAGCTCCTCAGAATTGAAAGATGTATTTATTTTCATATGGTGTATGTTTTAGTGTTTTCGACATAAAGATTTGTTTAGTGTTTGCAGAAGAGCAGGGTTCAGGGGGTCAGTGTAAATCAGCACTGCACAGTAACTAACAACCACAACATCCACTTGAAACAAAACAGACAACGTTTTTGGTTTAAAGTTGGATTTATAGAGCAGAATAATATCACAATCCAGACTAGTGATTCCCAAACTAGGGGTCACAACCTCCCAGGGGGGGTCGTAACATGAAGGTTGGAGAAATCGAATACAGTTTAAGAAGAATTACAAGTACCATATTTTGGTCATAATTATTATAAATATACATTTTAAATTATATTTAAAAAAATAAAATCATGTAAATAAAAATCATCCTTCTGCAACTCGTCCTGATTTCTTTGTCCCAAACAAGATCAAATCAATATCTTCAGTTTGCTTCATCACAGCTGGTATATTGGAGGCTGCATCCTTTTATTTTGGGGGTGATGAGCTGAAATATTTGGGCTGAATCCAGACACCTGAGACACTGACTTTATAGACAGGAGGAGACGTTTAGAGGCATTTGAGGACAATTTGCACTGGTACGATAAGATGTGCATATACAGCCACTGGTCTCTTTTCAACAGATTTTTCACAGGGGTAATTTATTCATGTATATTTTATTGAACAACAAATGATAAAACAGGATATTTTTTCAGGTGATTAAACAAATCCTTAGACTTTAATGTGGTTATTTTAAAGTGATTTTACTCAATAATCTGACATTTGTCATGAAATCACCTTTCACTATACATATTTAATTAGTAATTATTGCACACTTAATAAACTGTCAGAGAAAGGATGGGGGTGTTTTTTAGTATTATTTTAAATCATTTGAACTCAGGCACTCGATTGCACTACATAGTTATTGCACTTTGAAAACTGCTGCTTTTTTGTTTTTATATAAATGTTTTAATCCTCTGTATTTTTTACAGGTATGGCTGGAAGGACAAATAAACTTGAAACCTGGGGGCTCTGGTCTGGGGAGTTTACAGATAAAAATATGACTTTAAAAGTTATTTATTGTTGCATTTCTCTAAACACCAACAGGCTGGATAAGGTGTAATTCTGCTGGAGCCGACACATTGGGAATCATTAGTTCTTTGGATTGACACTAATTTCTCGCTGACTCACAGTTAAAGCAGCTAAAAGATCATAAATGCTTTGTGGATCACTCTTAGACTAAAAATGTAAGTGTCTGAAAGTTGAGATGGAGCTACTTCTTGCCTTAAAGGTCCAGTGTGTAAGATTTAGGTGAAAGGAAACTATTGGCAGAAATGTGATGTAGAATAATCCTCATGATGTTTTCATCTTGTTTGTTTCATCTAAATTGTATGAATTGTAGTTTTCTTTACCCCAGAAAAGACCCTTTATATTTAAATACTTTATATTTACATGGAGGGGGTCCTCTCTATGGAGGCCACCATGTTTTCTACATTAGTGCAGACTGGACAAACTAAACACCTTTTGGGTTTTTATAACAACTGAAGCTGCCACATGTTCTTCATGTTTGGAAGGAGAGGGTGAGGTGAGGGGTGTTCAGCTGCAACATGTAATTTCAACACTAGATATCACACAATTCTACACACTGTACCTTTAAAGGGATAGTTCACCAAAAAGTGAAACTTTAGTCAATACCTACTCACCACTAAGCTGGATTTACCCCTGAAACTCCAAAAGTGTTTTGTGGACTCAAATACTTCACCCACCCCTCCATCGGCATGGTGGTGAGTAGATGATGAGTGAATTTTTAATTTTCGGTGAACTACCACTTTAACATGTTAAGTGACTACGGCTCTTGGCCTCTGTCAGTGAACCTAGATGTAATTTTGAATATGTTTAAACATTAATAATAATGAAGAAGTTTGCAAACCACATGCAGACATGAATATGAATCTGACTTCACAGCTGACTTCTGGAACACCTGATGTTGTCTCTGATGAAATCAAACACATTCTCATGCGAGACGCCGAGGGCCTGCTGAACGGCACAGTAGTCCTCCAGAAGTCCGTACAGTTTCCCTGTGAAGAAGCAATTTGAAAAGAATTCAACGGCCAATAAACAACATTTGAAAGTATTGGGGGGGGGGGGACTCTCACCAACTGTAATCCCTTCTTTGACCAGCAGGTGATAGATCTGCTGCAGGCCGTTTGCCAGTTCTTCATCATCGAAGGTGAAGAAGGCCAGTCCTCTCCTGGCCTTTGCTGCCGCCATCAGCTGGATCACAGCTGAAAATAAAGAGAAGTCAAAGGCTCATGACAAATGTATCATATATTTGTTCGTGATAAACCGATGGGATCACATAATGTTTAAGAACCTTTGAGTTGAGGGTCTCCGTTGTAGACTCCACAGCCCCACTTGCCCGTGGCGATGTCAGGCTCATCGTCCCCATATCCTTTAAATCCACAGAATGCCTTCAGGCACAAAATACAATCATACAACAATAGTAGTGGACGGATACAAGATTTTTAAATATTCCAACAAAAGCGGCATCATGTCCCACTTCCAAAAAGTAAATAAACGTGAAGACAAACCGGACCTTGTTCAGTTCTCGTGTGACCTTGAGCATACTGTACTGCTCCTTTGTGTGTTTGAAGTGCAGAGCGTCAATGGCTAAGATGTGCCTCTGCAGCCGCCCCCATTCATCTCTGCAAAGATAATATCACATTTCAGAAAAACAAGCTGTAAATGTGAAATCCATGAAGCGCCCGCTCATACCGCTCCAGGATGTCTTCATGAGGCCCCATCCACTCGAAGCTGCCTCCGAAACCAGTGTATTGGCTGAACTGCTGAGAGCCTGAGACAGAGAAGTCGATGTAAACTGTCAGGCTGGTGTCATCGTATATTCTTTATTGTTGTGAACATGAAAAGACCAAAATCAACATTGTGTTACTCCATCTTTTAACACTTCTCACTATGTCTGGGAATCTCAGCTCGAATGATCAAATGATTCACTAGAAATAACTATAACTGTAATCGCAGGGCCTGACTCACACCCTGAAGACGGCAAGAAATAAAATTTAGAGCAAATCCATTGTGCGATTTTTGTCAGGACAACACCATTGGCACCTTTTTTCATATGGTCTGGCAGTGCCTGGAGGTCACCAGATTCTGGAGCAGTGTTATGTCTAGTAATATTGCTTAATGACACCTGCTCTCTGGAATGAACTATTATTGACAAACGTCTGGAATGGTGGAGGATACATATGTATATATACATATATATATATATATATATATATATATATATATATATATATATGCTGTTTAGTTTTTCTGCTTTGCTGTTGTTTCTTTCTTGCTTCTCTTAATAGTTTTTTATCTCTCACTTTCTTTTATAATTCCTTTCTTTTCACTCTTTCTTTGGGGAGTGGGGGGGGGACACACCCTTGTGACATTGCTGTGTGAGTGATATGATGCTTCCCCTGACTTGTGAAAATAGCTAATGAATAATTGATCCATAAAAAACAGTCGAAAACCCAAAGAATTTACACAGAAAGTTTACACAGAAAAAGGCATTTGAATGTTTTTGCTCGATATGACTTCATTTTGCTCGATTACTGCATCAAAACTGAGATTGTTGATTCAGCTCTGTCTCCCAACTTGTCCATTAACCAACAAATAATTTCATCGCTATACCTGTAACAATCAGACACTCGTTGTCCGCCAGTCGCTCAGTGAAGAGGCGGGAAACAATCAGCTCTGGATTCATAAGGAACAAGATCTCCTCCTGCACCAGTCCAGAGCCCAGCACACCTCCGCCAATCAAACAGGAAGCAAAATCCACCTGCACACACACACACACACACACACACATATATAAAGTTCATTCTGTAACAGCTGACTGTTAGTTGCTTTGTGTTGCGTTTACCTGTAACAGCCCTGCACTGTTGGCCTCGATACTGCCTTTTGATGTCACATGCAGCCTGGACAGCGTCTCCTCGCAGCTTCTCCCACCCCCCAAAAAAGAAAAAAACGTGCCATTAAATTTTGCACCAGCTCTCATTGTCCTCAGAGGATTGAGTGATGACTTTATTTATTACAGTGCAACCAGTTCCCCCAAGTTTTACCTTGTTCAGTGTGATGTCATATATTTATTTGATGAATAAGCACAAAATGTTCATTCAAGGTCCCCTGACAATGAATCCCAGTGGATTCTGACTTTTTACTGTTTTGCCAATGATGCAAAGTTGTCCCTCCCTCATTCTATTTTATCCTTTAAAAATGAAAATAAAGTTGTAACTCCTCTGGCCTTGATTATTGCTACAGCATGTTTACTTGTTTGAAGCATAGAGTGCATTCAAAGATGCATGATGCATCTCCACTTTGTCCAGCTGCAAATATCCAGAAATGAAGCCAGAATATCCCTGATATGATGATATGAACGCTGACATTTTGCACATGAGGATCAAGAGCATGCTGGTCTTAACACAATGCATGCTGGTTAGAACTTTTGTCCGACTTCCCTGCAAAACGTCGCCATGTCAAATGAACTTTAAACATCGGAGGAGCTAGCTGGCTGCAGTCAGACTGTGCAGTTGCTCTCCTCCAGCCTTCTGTGACATCACAACTCTGCTCTGATTGGCTGAAGGCTTCATAAGGTGTCTTGGTTTTTTTTTTGGCTTCTTTTATGTCTTCTGCTCCTTGTGTCCATAAATGTAAGGTGTGAAAAGCTATATATCACTATATATACATAAGTTTGTTTCTGTAATACTATCTGTTTCTTATTTTGTGTTTCTAATGTGGTGGTTACTACAGAAGCAAAATGTTCCCTCTGTTTATTTCTCTCCAGAGAGTGATGAACTGAATCTCTCTTACGCTATAGTTTAATTGTTCAGCTGAAAGAAAGTTCTCAGTCACCTTCATTGTTCATTGTATTCTTTGTGCAAAAACAGGGATTTCAAAGCATCTGATTCATCTGCAGAAAAATAAAGCAAAAGCTGCAACTTCAGTCGTGGTTCTCATCTCACTGACGCTACGAGAAGTAACAAGTGCTCAATTGTTGTCTGTGTTTTTTCACCCCTTCAGGCACAGGCAGATCACGACGGTGGATCAAGTCAGACACATTCAGACCAAGTCCATCTCAAACTCAATCACTACTACTCCATGTCTGAGATGGTGGACTTTACGACCTGTACTGCTGACAGAGGTGCTTTGGCTTCACTTGAGAGGAGCAGGAGCTGTGATGTCATCCATCGTTAAATACAACCTCTGATCCGAACCAAAGAAACTTTGCAAATCGATTATTGACTGAACAAAACCCTGCCACCTGGCCTCCTTGGTCCTGATATCCTCTTTACTGCTTCAAATACGGCACTGCCTTTTCATTTATATATATACACACTTTGTTTTTATTGTGCTGACAATTACATGACATAGCTTGTGTTTCTAAAATATGTTTTTGTAGAGGTCATTTCATTATTATATAATATTTCATTATACATGCATAAAAGTTATTTCCCATCCGCTACTAGCCTTATCAACAAGGCCCGGAACCCACCCTGACACTCTTTCACACTCCACCTCTGCCTCTATATGTCACATTGACACTGCATTCACAACTCTATGCGTTACATTAACGCTCAGCTATATACCTGCATATTGAAAATACTCTGCATACTGTGAACACTTGCACATTGTACTAAATACTTGATTTTCTTATCTTATATTTAGAGATGTCTGACATGCACCAACAACACCAAAACAAATTCCATGTATGTGGAAAAAACGTTTTTCTGATTCTGATTCTGATAATGTACCTTCCATCATGCTACAAACTATTCACTCTAACCAATGCTGTAATTACTCTTATTTCTCTGACATTCTCCATTACACTTCTGTCTGTCCTGGGAGGGGGATCCCTCACATGTGGCTCTCTCTGATGTTTCTACGTTCTGTTCCACTGTTAAAAGGGTTACTGTTGTTGAGGGTTAAGGGCAGAGGATGTCACACCTTGTTAAAGCCCGATGAGACAAATTGTGATTTGTGAATATAGGCTATACAAATAAAATTTGATTGATTGATTGATTGATTATGTAAACATCTGATCTTACCCGTTTGATTATATCTTATAATGTGTTGACTTCAATTATCTGTCTTATAATACAAAGCACTTTGTAATTCTGGGTTTTTAAATTCTGTGTAAAATACAAAACATAAGTTACTACCTTCTCCAGCTCGGCAACTCTGACTCTCTCAAGCAACGCCTCTCAAACGTCACCAGTCCTTGTGGTTTAGTGTCTGTGAAGATGTGAATAGCAGGGATTTTACCGAGACGTCTCACACAGGGAGCTGAAAAGAGGGTTTAGCAGCAACTTACTTTCATCCGTAACCACATTGAAATAATGCATGATGGCCCTCAGCTTTTCTTTCTTTCGTTCTGACCAGTTTCCGAAAAGCCTGCATCCAGAATGAGAATTAACAATTGGCTCAAACACAGTTCACACAGTGGAGAGGGTGTACAGGAGTTTGTGTTCAGAAAAGTGAGACTGTGGGTCTGTTTTGCCTGTTGAAGTTAATGGTGGGGTAGTTGTGGTACTCTGCGTTGGGTCTGGATGTGTTGCGATGTGGGAAGGTGCAGAAAAACGCGTTAGCCAGCAGGCAGGATATCTGGACCTGCGACAGAGTGATGGCCGCGCTGTGCCCCGTCTGAAGCAGCGGGATGGCCTGAAAACACGGACACACGCCCATCACCCTCATCATCAACATGAGTTAAACGCAGAGTCAACAGATCCAGGAAGTTACATTACCTTCTTCACATGCAGGGGGAGGCTCAGAGCCAATGCTGCCATCTTTGGAAACAGCGTGTGGAAGTAGTTTTCTTCTTTCGGGATACACTAGAAAGTCAATGTGATCCACTCCTGATCATTAGAGGGTTTAGACATCCAGTCACAAAGCTGATCTGAGGTAAACTAATGGACACTGACCTTGACGAAGGAGTAGAGGGCATCAAACATCCACTCATCTTTATATTGCGGGTTACACTTGATGATAACTTTCTAAAGACAGACAGAATTTGAATATGTAAGGATGAAAATTTGATGTCACATTCAGACATGACCTGCGGAGGAACTCCAGAGAGTTAAATCCGGACTTTCTCCAGAGGTTTCTTTTTGTCTTCTTTGTCTGTGATTTCCACGTGTGTGACCGTTGTTTTCACATTATTCATATTTTTATTCTTTTTGTTGTTTTGTTTGTTCTTGCATCTGTAGCGTGTCAGAATTTCATCATCATGCACACTCCTGCTGAGTTCTCACATCTGCTCCTCTGGACTTTCTGCAGACTTTAAACTCGGTGGTCAGACGGAGAAAGTCCACAGAAAGTGATATGGGAGAAAGGAGGTTTACAAGGCAAATATTTATCTGTATTTAGTGTTAATTTCTAGACATTTTATAATTCTGTCAATAACAAGTTAATCTAGGATTACTTTCGATTTTTCTTTCTTTTTGTGGGTGCACCTTTTCTTTATTTTTTCTTTCACAATTTTTTTATCTTTAAGAATGTATGTTTTGTAAATTGTTGTCATCCTACAAACGGATGGGCCAAATGCGTTGGTATGGCACAAATATAAAAAATATATGTGTGCATGTATTTATGATATTAATCAAAAACATGTGAAGGCTGCTCACGTACCTCAACATCTTCAACTCCTATTTCTTTTTTACTGGCCAGACTGTCCAGATTCTTGATGATAATTTCCCACCTACACACCTGGGTGGGCTGCCGTGGACAGAGAGGATCAATTCAATATAAATGTGTATAAACTGCGCCGCATGTCTTTAAATTATTATATGTCATCGTCTAAAACAAACTAAGAACACTTTAAACAAATCATATCATAACAACTTTGAATTAACAGGTGAACAGCTCTTTGTGCAGCAGTGGTGGTGCAGCTTTAGATCCAGCAGCCACTCTTTACTTGCCATGGCCTGATCACTGCAGTTCACTTTTGCAGTTCCAGAAAGAAAGCTACGAGCTGCATTAAGTCCTGCATCAAAGTCGAAGCTACGCCGTAGGTATGCACGTAGCCTCGAAGTTGTGCGTAGGTGAGTGTGAGTCACGCTGCAATTACACCATCGAAACACTAGTGGCGTCAGAGGTTCTATGGTGAGGTGGAGTGTCTTATGGACAATGGCAAGTCCTACAAAGTAGATTGTGTTGAAACTAGAGCTGAAAGATTTTGAAGAGTAATTACAGTTAGAGAACTGCAACAAAGAATAAAAAGCCCATTCCAAACAGGCAGGTTTACAACAGGCATTGCACAAGTAAAGTTAAATTACTAGAAAAGCAGTTTGAAACAAGTGGGTTAGTCTCATTGTTTAAATTACTGTTAAACAGTTTGCTGCCCTGGTCTCCTCAGCCAACTCATTCTAATGTCTACGAGACCTGACTGCAAAGGCTTTTAATGTTTAGAAAATGGTCAAAAACAAGATGACTAATAAATACACAAAAGAGATTTAAATAAAATTATTAAAAAATAGAAAGCTAATTCATTTTGGGGCCTATTTGGGTTGCCAGTTGCATTCTTTGTTTAAACATGTTTGGGGACCGAAATATACTTCACTAAGTAAACTAACCAAGAGGTACAACAAACATTTTGGGCGGCTTTGGCTCAGGGGAGAGCACGTCATCCTCTTACCAGGATTTTGGTGGTGCAATCCCACTCTTTCACATTCCGCATTCCAAAGTGTCCTTGAGCAAATTGCAGAACCCAAAATTGCCCCTGATGGCTGTGCTGTTCTCATAGGAAAAGTGCTGAGCATAGATGCACTGAATGAATGTGGGTGTGAATGGCAAAACTGTACCTTAAAGCTTTGAGTGGTGGCTAACACTAGAAAAGTGCTATTTAAATACATTTACATTCTCTGACAAGATTACATGTTTCATCAGTTAAGAGGACAATCGAGATCTACTGCAGATCAACAAACATCGTGTTGCCTCAAACACACCTTCTTCAAGCCGGTCTTGATGGTTACGACACTCGCTGGCGAAAACGGCATCTTCACAAAGTTACTGTGCCACATGTTTCTCCCTTCCTCGGGCAGAAGTTGTTTTGAAGCATTAAAGATGGGCACCTGCGAGAAAAACCACACGGTCATGTTCAACAACAACCTTAAGGAATCGACTGTATTTGCAGTGCGCGACAAGCAGCCTCAGGCACAACTTGTCCATCCTTGTTGGGATGTGGACGTTGCTGAGACCTTGTCAGACTGGGCTCAGGAGTCTACGAATCAAACCTGCTCACCTGTGGTGGTGGTTATTACTTGTAAAGATCTTTGTGACCTGATGCCACTCTTATTACTGAGTGTGCAGGAGGAAATTAGAAAAAAAAGAGATAATGCTACATATAAAATTGCAAGGAAGAAGAAAAGGATTGATTCTTACATTGATGAGGACGGTGTGCGTCCTGCTGAAGGTCAGTTGACCCAGCTTCTTGTGGCACTGCTTTAGGTTGCCCAGCAGGGAACAGGATGCAGTGTCCTGCTCCCTCTGCTCTCCTTCACCTCCTGGTGTACTTCTTCCATCCCCAGTGCAGGAGGAGGAGGAGATGGCCTGACTTGAGCTGACTAAGCATTTGTCAGCTCTGTAAGGTTCGTCACCCTCCCTGCTGGACCCTTGAGGGTAGTCTTCATTCCCTTCGGCCATGTCTGTGGGGTGTGTGTGTGTGTGTGTTTGTGTGTGGGGTGGGGGTACTGGCGACAAGACATGATGGTTGTGTGAAAGGGAAACAAAGAACAAAAAGAGGAGGATAAACAAGTCGTAACAGATACAGCAGAAAAACCAGATACTGAGTGCTGGAAATCACAAACCTCGTAGACTAAAAACAGATCACCATGAATGGATAGGAAACTATTACCACACTGCAGTTGCATGCCTCTGCCAACCACTGCAGTTTCCATGAATATATTTTTCCAGAGTCATATAAGTTCACTTCCTCATCACTTTCACACACATGCACTGAACTCTGTGGTTCCTGCCTATCTTTCTCTGGAGGAGGTGCATGTGTGAACATCTGCAGACTTTCTCTGCCTGGCCCCCTGGTACAAAGTCCATAGAGAGTCAGGAGAATCCAATGTTATCAACACAGCAGGAGTTCCGCAGCTGGATTCACCGTGAGTGAACCTCGAAGTAATGCACCCCGCTCTTGTTCACGGTGTCTGTATGTCAAGTTTCAAGAGATTTTACAGTATAAATTATGAGAAAATTAAAGGAAAAGACAGCTACTTTGTCATTACTGCACTGATAACTGGCTCCTATTAAATGTATTTATATCCCCAATATAAATATACACAATAAACATACAAAAGATCTCTCTTTCCAATTTTAGTTCAATTGGTGATATTTTATGCATGTTTATTTTTGGATCGTTGCATAATCTGTATTCTGTAAAGGCTTAAAGGGGGGGATCATTTGTCACCTCTTAAGGATTTCTAAAAACAGCAGGTTATGACTGCCATGATTGTACCTGTAATATTATTCCATATTGCATTTCATCACAAAGGTTCATTCCTCGTGTGGAAAGCAAAATGGTTTTACTCATTTTATCAAACGTCCATATAGTCCCATTCATTTTGTCCCCTTGTTTTCCTGCTCCAAACACATGTACCGTAACACCAGGAATAGACAGACTTGTGTTGTGCCTCTGTCAGGCTGTCATGGAGATACACAGCAGCTCAAGTGTGAACCACCACTGAAACTCCCCACACCAAACATTCGCAAACAGTAAAACTTCTGTTAGAACGCATGTAGTTAGTTTAAAAACAGACTCACTCACCTGTCCCTGGGTTTTAGATGTAACGGGACTACTGTCACTTCCAGCTTTCTTAGTTCAAACACGCAGATAAACACGCACACACCTGCAGCACGAAGAACTGTTTACTTTCACTTTGACGAAAAGCGAAAGTGGAGTACAGAGCAGCGCTTCGAGTATCACTTTCATTCTTACAGAGTCCCCCACCCCCCCGAACCCCGTCTGCTTCCTCTGTGGCTTTCCACCATTTAGCGTCATCATTAGTTTAAAATCGGTTTCATACTTTATTCATACATTCAGCTTCATTAACTGTATCTTCACCGGTTCCATTGACGCAGACCATGGTGTTGTAAAGAGGAGAAATTATTACAATTCAATTATTATCTTGTACAACTTAAATTCCCCTCGAGATCAGTAGAGTATCAATCAATCAAACAATCAATCAACCAATCAATCGATCGATCAGTCAATCAATCGATCAACAGACCGACCGATGTATCCATCTGTCTATCTATATGTCTATGTAATATCAGTAAATTAATTAACACAATCAAATAGATTTATAATGAATACATTTATTATAAAGATAGTTTATGATCCTGACACATGCATGTTCACCTGCTGCAGAAAAGGGAAGAGTACTTATGCTGGAAGTAATTAGAATATATATATATATATATATATATATATATATATATATTTAAGTCGGATAATCAAAGTTGGAGATGTGATGTTGATTTCATTTCATTCGTTTTAGTTTATTATTATATTTTGTATTATTTGTGAACACAAGGTGGCAGCAGAGGGCCAGCTGTCGTTAATTCCACCAGGTTTCCTCAAAAATCACCCCCATTAAATATTGTGTCGCTTTATTTCAGTTATTATTGTGATGGTATTAAACATGTTCTTACAGACACAAATATTTCATCACAAAAAGCAACGAAACAAAGTAAAAAAAGAAATAAATACGTCAAAACTCCATGACTGTTTGTAAAGGCATGTCTCACAGAATAACATAACACTGCCCCAGTATTGTGTGAATATACCTACAGTATTAAAAGTAACAATAACGATAATATACTTCTATCAATAATCAGTACTCAACTGCTGTAACAATTTTAATTTTATTCACAATATTTTTACTCCACTTCTTCAATGTATGAGGATGAAAAAGCATCCAATGTGTCGTAACTCTGACATGTATTGTGGTGCAACCAAAATGAAAATACTTGAGAATATTTCCTCAGTGAAAGTATCTAGTTACTGTCCACCTCTGCATGCTAAGGATTAACTGTAACAGCAGAGGAGCACACCTTCTGGTCCAGCTGTTCCAGATGCTTCAGCAGAGGAGCCTTGAACACTTCATTTACGCGATGTGTAGATTTTGCCCGTGATCAGAGTAGAAGTGAAAGCTGAGCCTGTGGCACCAGATGGTCGTGGGAGGATGCAAAAGGATGAAAATCAGAGGTCGCGGGACAGACAGATGATTGGAGTTGATGCTAATTGCGACAAACTGCTGTCAACCAGTGAAACAGGAGTAAAGATAACATCACATCGCTCTAAATGTTGGGTCACACAGATGGTCGAAATCAGTTTTATGGAAAAGGAAGCATCTACCAGAACAATATATTACATTGCATTACATTTCATTTAGCCGACATATTTATCCAAAGCAACTTACAATAAGTGCACTCAACCATAAGGGTGCAAACCCAGAACAGTAAGAATCAAGTACTTGGCTTAATTAGCTTTAAAGTACTACATGTAAGTACCATATATATAAGTGCAACTGATTTTTTTAATTCAAACACCAGAGTTGACAGAGGTTAATAGACCATCATCTTCTTAATCGGGTGTAATCAGAAGAGATGTGTTTGTAGCCTGCGGCGGAAGATGTGTAGACTTTCTGGTGTACTGATGTCAATGGAGAGCTTGTTCCATATATGACACTGGAACCATTCACATCTTATACTTAAGTAAAAATAGCAACTACAAAAAGAACTACAAAATCCTACTTGCAAATGTACAAATGTATGTTTGATTATTATCAGCAGCTGTTTAATGACATAGCTGGTTAATGTGGAGCTAATGTAATAAGTAATCCCCAGGTACATTCACTTTTTTTAAGTTGATCCTAAATGTTGTATGCAAAAAACAACAACAATGAAGTGAATACAGGAAATAAACAAATATCCAGGAGTAAAGTATTACTAGTGAAGCAGAAGTATAAAATAATTTGAAATGATCTAATTTGAGTTCAATAAAGAAATAAGTCAAGTATGGGCTTAGGGATGTTCTTTCTCTATTGGGGTAGTGCCTTTCTTTGTTTCTTTATACACTATAGAGCAAACCATCAGTTCATGGAGAAAATGAAAATCAATATATTGGCTGGCCTTGTCTTGAGTAAATGCACTTGCACAGAGGCAGGGGGGAGGTCACTGATAACAGCAGGGTGAAAATTAGGATTGTGTACGGTTTGAGGATGTGACATTGGTGTTGTGGAGTAGCTGCAGGGCGACTGTCATGTGTTCTTGTGATGATGGTCATGTGTGCTGCTATTCCAGCTGGTAACGCTCAGAAGCAATACTGTATGTGTGGCTGTGTTTGCCCACATGATCTGTCAGGAAACAGTGATTCAAGTACGCCCAGGCGATGAGCGGGCGGTGGAGCTCACTACTTCAGTCATCCCTGTGCCTTTTTCTGTGTGTGTGTGTGTGTGTGTGTGTGTGTGTGTTATTGTGGGTCAGCCATTTCCCTGGAATGTTCTGCCTCTTGCCAAAGAGAAGTCACTACAAAGGAATGCACACACAACACTGCAGAAACAAAGGGATGACTTAAAAAGGCCAGAAAGTGAGGAGACAGAGCCCGACGTAAACGTGTCTCTCCTGTTTGTAACTGTGAGCCTCATGTACGTGACGCATTCTACGCCTCCTCCATGACTTTTAGGGATGAATATTCAATAATACCAGCCACAGTTATGACATAGGTGTGTGCAATATGGTAGACCATCTGCCTGAACTCTAGATAACATCCCCATGGGCACAATTAATTCACCGAGAAGAACATTTTTAGAGAAGGAAAAGCAAGATGGCTCTTTTCCCGTCCCCTTCTTTAACCTTGCCTCCATCGAGAACAGCAGAGAGTTGAAGCACATTCTTCAGTCTGAGAGTGCAGTCGGCTTTGCTTTCACTCCCAGTTGTTCCCTCTTTGTCTCCTCAACCCTCCCCGTCTCCACTCTGCTTTCATTTCTTTCTCCTGGAGGTCAGATAGTTGCAGCAGTGAGAGCAGGGTCAACACACTTTAGGTGTGTATGTGTGTGCGTGTGTGTGTGTGTGTGTGTTTGCGACCCTCTAAGATCCTGTGTGCTGTTCTTTAGCAGGGGAGTCGGTTACTATGTCCTGTGACATTGTGAAATGACTGCAGTGGATTGGAACTGTGCGTGTGTGTATGTGTGATTGTACTATGCGGCAGGTCGTGGGGGAGGAAGCAGCAAAAGCAGCGGCAGCAGCAGAGAGTGGAGTGTAGAGGTGGTGGTGTTGGGGGGGGGGGGCTGGGTGATATGGATAGTGCAGAGAAAAATGAAGAAATGGGAAATCTCAGCACCTGTTTCCAGGGCAACAGAGGTCTGCAAAACACAGGCTGGTTGGACTTTTTATTTTCCACGGTGCACTGCCCTCTGGCAAGATACTGCAGACACCTCTAATGACGCCAAAACACTCAGTGGCCCTGCTGCTGAAGCACCGGCTTCAAGTGACACACACACACACACACACACACACACACACACACACACACACACACACACACATGGGCTGTGTGATGCACACAGCTGAATGCTGAAGTTTGGGCACCAATTACATTTCTTAAGATTTGAATTAACTGTTACTCCTTATTTCATGAACTTAGCTCAAATGAATTAGTAGGTGTGGGGTGTTGTTTGGGCTTTTCGTTGGCTTTCACTTCACTGCTGCACTTTGTTTAAACTGATGTATTGTACTTGAATGTAATGCATACTGACTGTATTTGAATTTCATATTCGGTGGGACTGACTGTGTATTTTATGTTACGTTACATTACGACTGTGCCTTTTTTCATGAAGCACTCTGTGTACAGTACTGAGCTGCTGGTGCTGTACAAAGACATTTTATTACTAGTTTTTATTAATAGTATTTTTAACATTACCCAGTTACCCCCCCCCTTCACAAACCTCAGATTGCAATCACTTTTTGTAACAGTCTTTTCTCTCGATGATTTTTCTCCCACTCTTCCTGCAGAGCAGAGATATTTTTAGGTTTCCTTGCACTACAGAACATTTAACGTCTACCTACCCACACAGTTTTTCTTTCTTCTTTTGGTTCTCTTTTCATTGCTGAAAGCAAAAGTACTTATTGTACTCATTGTATTAAGGCTCATAGAAGCCAAGACTGTTTGTGTCTCTAGTTGGGGTATA